TGACAAGAAATTTGAGAATGTTTTAAACAAGAACAAGAGGAAGTTAGAAAATGCTCAGATAAAACCATACATGACAAGTTCTTATTTGCTCAGAATGGTATAACAGGTCTAATCGCACCACCTGGGTCGGGTAAGACTTTCACTTATCTTAAAATGGCTGCACAACAACAAGAACTAGATGAGAAGAACCCATTCTATGAGTTAGTTGTTATTTGTAGTACTTCTGGTCAATTTGACCAAACCGTCAATTCGTTCAAAGATATTATAAAGAAGTCTAAGTTAGTATGTATAAAGGATACTGAGTTGTTAGATTGGATAAAGAAGTACCAAAGAAGAGTTTTGAAGTATAATGCTATAAATGAGTATATAATTCGAAGTTTAAAGACCCAAATGAGGAAATGCAGAGAATATTAGAGAAGAAACACTTCAGAAACAAACAGAAAGAGATAGAATACATTTCGAAGAAATTGCAATCTTACGATTGGAAGACTTACCCTCACAGATGTCTTCTTATCTTAGATGACTTTGCTTCTCATCCTTTGTTAAAGAACAGAGAACAAGACATGTGTCGAATTCTCAAGAAGCTCAGACACTTTAACATCTCAGTTGTCATTTGTGTACAGACAGCAAAGAGTTTAAGTAAGGATGTTAAAAGAATACTTACTGATATCATACTTTTCCCTGGATTGTCCGAAGACGATTTCATGGAACTTATGAAAGAGTCCATGGCAGGTAAGTTTGACAGACATGAACTATGGGAGAAGTACAAAGTCATACAAGACCCTCATACTTCTTTCAGAATTCACATCTACGCGAACAAAGTTCAAATTGTAAAAAGTCAAGCTTGAAAAATAAAGAGTTTTGGCGACCAGGGTTTTTTCACTACTCGCTGTTCTTCTCTCGGTTTTTCGAGGGAAGCAAGCATATGAGGAAATTCATGAAATTTCATACGGAATTCAGCAAAAATATATTTTAGGTGAAGAGGTGAGATTTCACCTCTTTTTTCACCTGTTTTTTCACCTCAGTTATTTTATAAGCGTTTCACATGGTAAACGTTATTTTTTAAATTTTGTGAAAACTCAACGGTTTGACACAAGCCCTAAAAATTATTTTACTCAGAATTTTGTTGCTGAATTCAATAAAAATAATGTTTAGGTGAAGAGGTGAGATTCCACCTCTTTTTTCACCTCTTTTTTCACCTGTTATTTTATAAGCGTTTTACATGAATTGTATGATGTATATTTGAAATCCTAAACAATTTCGTAGCTTCTATTTCTTCTGTCAGTACATCGAATGTTTTAACGATACCGAAAGTTTCTTTATACTTCTTCTTGACGTCAGATAGAAGGAAATCTTCTGCTGTTGGATAGTTTTTATTAAGAAATGTCAACATATCCATTTTATCTTCTGCTGGCTTTTCTGCTTCTTTCTTTAAGTCTGCATAGTCGTTTCTCATTCTTTCTATCTCTTTGACTGAGTAGTTATATTTCCTAATTGCTGCCTTACATTTTGAACATTGCGGGTTCATTTTTGCGTTATATTCTGAAACCTTACCTGCTAAAACAACTAAGGCGTCAATTGCTCTCTTCATCTCGAACATAGCGGGTCTTATTTGTTCGTTCCATACCTTACCCCTACTATCTTTATCTCTTATTTCCCAAACACATTTTGCAACTAATGAAACAAAGTTGTCGTAGGTCTTAAATTCTTCGGATTTATATATGTCAGAGATGTTCTTATATACCATGTCGCAATCTTTGTCCATGACTTTGTGGTTGCAATGAAATCCAAGGAATTCATAGTTTACCTTTCGTATGAACTTCTTTATTTCTACTGAGTCAGTTGGTTTCACTTCAATTTCGTCAAATTCGGGAATAGTGAGTTTTTGCTGCTGAATTTCAGGCAATTTGGGTAAATGGTCAATAATGTCCTGCATTTCATAAAGATACTGTTCATTTGTTTCATCCTGTGCGGTACAGTCTAAATTACTTGTTAAAAGTTCTTGCTTTATCTTCTGGATTTTTGTTTCGAAAGTATATGAAGAAGGAATGAAGCTTTTCATCTCTACTAACATAGAAGTTGGGTTCATGACTAACGAGTTTGGTGCTGTTGTTGCTAACATGTTCTTACAATAAAAATAAAAAAATATTTTTTTAAAAAAACCAACTTTATTTTTTATTTCGGGAAAACTCATGAGGTGAAAAAACAGGTGAAAAAAGAGGTGAAATCTCACCTCTTCACCTAAACATTATTTTTGTCTGATTTACGCTCATTACGATGAAGTTTCGACAAAACATTTACGATGAAATCATGAAAATTCAAGAGGGTGAAAAAACAGGTGAAAAAAGAGGTGAAATCTCACCTCTTCACCTAAACATTATTTTTGTCTGATTTACGCTCATTACGATGAAGTTTCGACAAAACATTTACGATGAAATCATGAAAATTCAAGAGGGTGAAAAAACAGGTGAAAAAAGAGGTGAAATCTCACCTCTTCACCTAAACATTATTTTTACTGAATTCAGCAACAAAATTCAAATTGTAAAAAGTCAAGCTTGAAAAATCTAAGTGTTTAGTCTTAGTAAGATGGTAGCTTCTTAAAGCAAATACCATTGCTGAGTTTTATGTACGTGAAGAGAAGTACAATGAATTCAATTACGAGTACAATTGCAATGACAACTAAGGCAACTATTTTTGTCTTTTGCCAGCAAGGGTACTTCTTCTCTTCCAATGGTTCGGCAGAACTATACTCACTCATGAGAAATGCCAAAACGGTTTAATAGAAAAAGTGTCATTTTTTCATGTCCGAAGACTCGAAGGTGCAACACTTCCAAAATACCGACGAACTCAGAAGAGCAGCATGGCAGTATCTTCTTGACAACTTCTTTGAGTTCTCCAGGTACACCTTGGAAAATGCTGAAGAACTCCGACACAGAGAATTTGGAGAAATTGCACTCCAATACTACCTTGACAAACAAAGGGTAAACAAAGGGTAAAATAAGACTAAAAACTTAACGTTTAAAAAGTGACATTTTTAATGAGCTCCGAGTCACCGAGAAAACTTGGTCAGATGTTAGCAGCTTACTTCCCCGAGGAGGATGGAAGCGTTACATACGTAAGGTTCAAAAACAACGAACCTGGAATTGCGTACCAAATTCGCAATTACATGACCATGGAAGAGTACGAAAGGTTCCTACAAGAGAAACCAGCTCTAAACAACTCAGAAAAGAAAGAATAAAAAGTTTAACTCGTAATTGTTTATTTTTTTACTTGTATGGGCAAGCTGCAAGAATGAAGTCGACTATCTCAGTCTTTGTCTTGACCAGTTGGACTGCTCTTGCGAGTACGTCTGTTTTGCGGTCTCCAGCTGGTGTCTGACCTTCGTAATTGCGCATGTTCTTGAGAGCTCCAACTGTAAATGGTTGTAGGATGAAGAGTCTCTCAGACTGCTTGAGGTAGTCTTCACGGTCACGAACCGAATCTGTGGTACGAGTCGAATCGGTCGATTTGAGGGAAGAGACTGAAAGCCTGTCGTCTTCCATAGGGGCAGTAGCATAATCTTTGCGTAAGCGGTTCAGACCTTCTTCGAAGTCTTGGTCTCTCTTGGATTGAGATTGGAATTGTGGGGCAGGGTTTTGCATAAACATCCAAGGGTTGGGGAAGTAAGGCATAGGCTGAGGAGGAGGGTAGTTCGGGAAGCCTTGTGGTAGGTAGTAACCTTGAGGTGGAAATTGGTAGTAATTTGGTGGAGGGACTTGCTGGAACTGAGGTTGCTGAGGTGCAGGGGCTGGTGCTTTAGGTTCTTCTGGCTTTGGAAGGCGTTCAGGAAGAGGAACGTCGGACATTCGTTTGTGTCCTGTCGGAAGGAAGAACTTTTTCTGTCGGAAGGAAGAACTTTTTCTGTCGGAAGGAAGAACTTTTTCTGTCGGAAGGAAAAACTTTTTCTGAAGTTCGACCAAAAGTTCTCAATTTTCGAAAATTTGAATGGTTTACGGACGGACAACTGGAAGCGTCCTTCCTGTCGTCGGGAAAATTTTTTCCAGTTGTCGGGAAAATATTTTCCTGTCGGATGGAAGGACTCGGAATACCAGAAGGATTTGACGAGGCAATTTACCTTATAGAGATAAATGAAGTTGTTAAGCAGTACTTGCGCAGGGTAATGAAGCCCAAGGTCAAGTTCACCACTATTTCTGGAAGGTCTACACTTCAGCTCGAGACTTCGACTGGAATTCCAATTCAAATACCAGACGGGACAGCCTACGATGGCATAAAGGACGCCAAAAGAGAAGCTCTTGTTAAGTTCCTAAACAAACGTCCTTGGATAAAAATACCAAACAAGGAGAACCCCCTACCCCATATGAAATTGGCAATTCAGTCTCTCCTTCACTTCTCGGGTCAGCCGTTCTACATAACCTGTGAAGGCGACATCCAACCAGTTCAGTCAACCTTAACGTTTTGAGTAAAAACATTTTTTTTCACTTCACTTTTTTTATGTTTTTACTCACACTCGTACTCAACAGGTTTGTGTACAACTATTTCAACTGTGAACCTTGTATTGACCGGTATTCCTGCAAATGCAAGTTCGGTCAATACACAATTTATGGTGGCAAGAAAGACAGTGGGGAATGTTATTCTGACATCTGTTGTTGCGCTCGAGAGAGATTTGAAATTTCAGAGCCACCTCCCCCAAGAACTCCAACACCAACACTCAAGTTGCCAAAGACTCATGTGAAGAAGAAGCCTTCTGGTAAGTTTCTTATAGCCATATACATGGCACGTTTAGAGTAAAAACATTTTTTTTCATTTTTTGAATGAAGCAAGTTAAATTCGTCCCACACCAATCTCAATGGACCGATGAAGAGTTTCAAGCCATGGTTGAAGGCGTTGAGAACGACATAGACGGCGAACTTGAAGGAGCTCAAACCACAATTGCAACCAAAATTGCAGAAGTCAAGGAACAGATAGCTCCACTTAAAGCTACCAAAGCTACTCTTGACCTCATGGATAGTTACCGTTTAGAAGTAAAGAGTGGAATAAGACAATTAAAATTGAAACTTCTAAACTACGAAGCTATACTCCAAAAGTTAGCAGAAATGAGAAGACTTTACCAGAGCTACTTACATGTAAGGGACTTACCTTCAAGCAGTCCGACCAAAGATGAATTTTCTGACATTGTCCCAATTTTGTCCGAAAGTCAGCTCAGATGTTTTGAACTGCTCCCAACATATCCAGAATATGAACGTTTGCCTGAACTCTTCCGCAATCTCAAAAAACGTTTTTTGGTTCTCATGTTCGAAACTTTTATCGGAAGAGACAACAAACGTTCAGAAGAAGAACAAGATATTATTTTAAACTTGTTGTATGACTTAACCGTCATAACAAGCTTTTTGAAGTAAAACCGTCATTCTCAAACCACTTCATTTTTTCGATGTCCGAACAAGCACCGAAGCCGAACACAATGGCAGATGTCCTTTCAATGTTGCCAGACAAGCGCCCAGTTCAAATTCAAATTTTGAATTTGAAAGCTCATCTGACAAACACCGTTAAGACTCTCCAAAGTAGTCTTATGGAAGAGATGAAGGGACTTAAAGGTGAGTTCCTCATGAACCAAGCTTCCAATGAGAAAGTCCTGAACGATTTGACGGAAACCTTGCGCATTTACGCGAGAGAGAACCGAGACCTTGCCAGACTCATCTACCGTTTCTTCGAAGAGATAGACGCCATCTGGAAGGTACTCGGAAAGGACAGAACCTCCAACACCGTAATTCGTGAACACAGAATTGAAGAAGGAATTGTCGAGGAAGAAGAGAAACACGAAGAAGAGGAAGAAGAGAAACACGAAGAAGAGGAAGAGGAAGAAGAGAAACACGAAGAAGAAGGAAGTGGGCAACCCTTGTTGCCGATGACACTTACGAAATTTCCCAACCCTACCCATACCAAATCCGCAACAAGGAGACAGGCAAGGTTCTTACCCCAGTCCTCAACAACTTGGGACACTTGAACCTTAACCTTCGGAATCGCGGTTCAATTTCCATGGGCAAGCTTGTCGCAATTCAATGGGTTCCAAATCCAGGCAAGAAGACGAAGGTCAGACACATTGACGGTGACAAGCTCAACAACCGTAAGGAGAACCTCGAGTGGTTCTAAGAGTAAAAAAATTTTATTTTAGGGGGAAACCCCGAGTAAATTTAGGTGTTTATTTAGTTAAGTAGCTTAAATTAATGAGAATTTGGACAAGTAGTTCCTGACCCCTGAATTGGACTCTTTCGTCATCCCAGTTGCGTAGGAGGTCGTCCCAGAGGAGTTGGTAGAATTGCCAATCCAAGGACGATTTGTCCTCCCAGGCATTGAGGATGTACTGCTCGTAGAGTCTCATGACCTCTCCCTTGCACCAGACACCCTCTCCCTTGGAACGTAAGGCTTCTTCGAAGTGCTCGAATGCGATTGGCTGCGTGACCATCCGAAATGACACTTTTTGTCCGTTTGGTCAATGTTTGTGTCTCGTGCCATAGTCGACGAAAATACAGACAAACAGGTTATATATGAGTTTGAGACCAAGAATGGTGTAACTCGACCTGTCCGATTCAAATTCGAATAAAAATTTTTTATTTCATGCAATGTTTTATTTCTGTGCCGTCTTCAAGTATGCCCCAGTACTTACGCTTGGAGAGGACATGAACTTCGGTGAAAATTTTGTCCAATTTGAATTGACCCATCTTTTCACCGACCATTCCCATTTCAATGAGTTTGTTGTATCCTTCTTCGTTCGTCATGAGTGCGTCAATGTTCTCATAGTAAACCTTCACTTTGGATTTGACTTCGGAGAAGAATTTGTTGTAGTTGTCAAGGACTGCCTTTGCGAACTGAGGGTAGGACCAATGTTCGACAATAGGTTTTAATGTGGTTACTAAGCCACTTTGACCTTGAGTGAATTCGTACTTCAAAACAAAAGGAGAAAACCTTTCAACAAAGTTGTCGACCTTCTCATAATGTTTACTCTTCATCTCTTGAGGTTTCTTAATGGAATATCCCCATGTCGAATTCATAAGCAATTTGAGTGTCATTGCAAGTTTGGGGTTTGAAGCTTTCCTAATATCATAGAGTTGTTGTATGACTTTTCCAACTGTATAGTTCCTTCCTGGGAACTCACCATCTTCGTTTGGGATTCCAGTCGGAATATATTGGACAAATCTCATGTATGCAGCGTTAAGGTCGACATAGTATATCTTTTCATCTGAGTCGAACTTGTCGCAACCAATTGGTCCAGTTTGTGGAAATTCAAGTGAGTCTCTTATCTTCTGAGAAACTTCTCCTGTTATCTCATAAACATCGTCGAAGCAACCTGTTTCATATAAAACCTTCTGACCTAACTCAGATGCTCTCCAATACAATTTGACGTCAATTGGATGTCTCAATGGAAGTTTGTTTATAGCATCTTGAAGTTCTTGCAACCTCATTGGAAGTTCTTCTGGTTCAGGTTGGTATCCGAACAATCCAACTCCTTTTGGAACTGCGTACTTCTTTTGTGCTATAACTTTGTCTGGAACAACTTTTGGTCTTGCTAACAATGAAAAGTTTGTTTCGTCTTTTGGTACAAAAGTTTCTGTCAGCTTGTCATCTGGAATTGGTTCCAACAAACCTTTCTCGAAAAGAATGTTTACAGCTCTGACAATGTTGCACTTACCTTTTCCAAAGAATGGGTTTGTAAGACTTTCGTTCAACATGAAGTGGTTGTGGACAATTACAATCTTCAACCATGGTAATTTGTCAACAACATAGTCGTCATGTGAAGAACCTTTCTCAGTCGGAATGTTGACTCGGATATTGACATTTGCCAACGGTGCAATTTTTGCAATTGACCTCTGAGAATGTACCTTGTCTTCACACATGACTCAAGATACTTCATCTTCTCTTCTGTAACAAGACCAGAGTTCCTGAGACATGTAAGAATACAAGGTTCATTGACAATTGTTTCAATTGAATTGTAAATTCCATACCTTGTCAAGTCAATGTCAGACTTATTTATGAACGGGAAGTATCCAGCATGTTGTCTGACTGCTTGAGGGTTAGGTTGGTACCATTCAAATTTTACACTTGCAATTCCTTCAATTGCATTCAAAATGTCTGAGTCGGAGTCAACCATTTGTTCTCTCTTTGTAGTCTTGAAAGCGTCAAGAAGCATTGCAGCTGTTGTGACATTGCCATGTGCATAGTAAATGTGACCATCCAAATCTGTTATGGTCAATCTGAGATTGTATCCTTTCTTATTTCCGTCTTGTATGGCAGCAAGTACTCCCATGAAGCCTTCTTTGTTCTTTCCTTCGTCAAAGTTTACTGTAAAGGTTCGACCAGATGTAATTTGACTTCTAACTTCACGGTACTTTTCATATGCATATCTTGTTCTTTCCATGGGAGCATGTTTGTCTTCACCTTTTCCTTTTTTCCTTCTCAAAGGATGCAATTGTTCGTCATGTTTCCAATAGAATCTGGCAAAGCCGTCGTGTCCTTCAACTTGCGGTTCACTAACATTGAAAGGCATGTCCATAAGACGTTCTTCTTCTAACCTCTCTAGTCTGTTTGGATAATTGGCGCGCGCTGTTTCCAAATCCATTTCGTAGCGAAGACCAGACAATTTGTCATAGACTTTTATGGGTCTTCCCTTCCTATATTTAAACTTCTTCGAAACTCTCCAACCATATCTTTCTAACTCTGCTTTTATTCTAGCAGACCTTCTGTCCATTCTATATGGGGGCATTTTTATAAAAATAAAAAAATATTTTTTTCTTTACTTTACATAACCGCCCGCTGCCATAAGTCTTTGACGCCAACCCATACCAGCTAATGAAGGTTGAGTTGGTTTAGTTTGGAAACTAAACTTTGGTTTTGGTTTATCTTCAGTTTTTGGTTTTTCTTCTTCTATCGGTTTTTCGTCACTTTTCGGTTCCTCTGACTTTACCTCACTTGCAGGTATGGTTGTGTCGTCAACATCTTCATAAATATCATATGCCATTTGTTTTTGTTTTCCTTTCAACTTTTTGTGTTTGTTGTAAAGTTTAGAATATTTCGACTCTAAGTCAATGAGATGTTCTATAATGAACTGTTGGTCAGTGAAATAAACTTTTCCATCTGTTGTCTCGAAAGCTCCTTCAGACTTCAATATTTTATTTGTGAGAGTCTGTTTCTTTTTTGAGATACTAGCCGTTCCATTTCTATGAAAAGTGACTTTATAGTTAGGGTTTGTATTTCCAGACCTGGCACTTTCTATTATTGAATTTTTCTCTTCATCTGTAAGTTCTTTGACAGGTTTTGACAATGGTTCTGAACTTTTTGTTTGTGGTGTCAAATCTACCGTTTCAACTTCTTCGGTCATTTCATCTCAGTAAAAAATTTTAGTTTGGTTTGTTTTCAACTGGTTGTTTAGGTTTTTTAAGTCGGTCTAAAACTTCCTGAGGTATAGGAAGAACTTGACAAACACGTTGTGTAACTGCTGGAAGTCGACAAATCCATCTTGAACCCATTTGTCTCAATGCTGTATTGTTCATTTCATCTCAGTAAAAAATTTTACATTCCCCACGTTTGAGGCGGTTGAGGTTGGTTGTTGTTTACCCACTGTTGTGCATGGTTATATCCTCTGTTAAAGAATCTTTCACCTTGGTCCATATAGTGCCCTGCTTGGTTATAGTAGTCATTTGCTTTGTTATAGTAGTTTCCTGCTTGTCTTCCTACATTATCCATCCATCCTTGAACTTTTCCTCTTGTTTCAGGATTTGGAATAAGATTTGCTGCATCTCGTGCTACCTCCCAACCTTTCTGTACAGTTTGTATAATAGGTTGTGCTTTCTCTTTAAGTATACCTAATGTACTCAAAATCTTCCTTCCAATCCAAATGCACCTCTGGCTATTGTTCCCACTGCGGGCAAAAATCTGGATGCAACTCCTGCTAATGCGCCAAATAAACCCATTTCTTATGGGTTAAAAAATGACGAATCCAAACAAGGACCCCTATGTTTCTAAAGCAACAAAGAAAGCACTCATGGTAAAAATCTTTAGTTCAACACCAAATGCTTGGTTTATGGATATCTTGGAAAACATTCCGAGGTATAGAGAAGATGGACCACCATACTGGCTAATATTTGTTGGTCAAAACACAAGATACTGTGAAGCCATACCATTACAGTCCAAAAATATTTTAGATATCTGCAGCTTTGACAATATTCGTTGACAAATACCATCCAACAAAACTGACATCTGACTGTGAAAGTTCTTTCAAATCAGATGATATAAAAAACTATCTGCGTTCAAAAAATGTAAACCAATATTTCATTGTCGACCAAAACCATTCTGCTCTTGGTGTCATTGACAGTTGTATAAAAATCTTAAGAGACTTAAATCAACCACAAGGTGGTGAAGCAAATGAAATGTCATATGACGACAAATATAGACATTTCTCCATGGCAAAGATGAGACAAGTTTTAAATATTTACAATAGCCGTAAACAAAAAGGTTTGGGAAACCACTCCCCCGAAGAAATGAAAAACAACCCCGACTTAGAGAAAGACTATATATTTAATAGTTTAGTCAAAAGAGACAAACAAGAAAGAATGCCAGGCTTCAAACTTAAGAAAGGTGACAAAGTAAAAATAGAAATACCTAAACGCGACCCATATGAAAATACTATTGACTATGACAACAATGGGAACCCGACAGGTACTCACCTTCGTGTTCGTAAAAATAGAAGAAAGTATACAAGAGAATATTATGAAGTTTTAGGCAAACATGGCAAAATGTACAGACTGCAAGCAGAAGATAAAACTACTATTGTCAGACCTCGTTTCAAACTTGTTAAGGTTCAAGGTGGTATACTTTCAAAGACAGTTCCTAACAAATATAAGACAACTCCTGACGAATATGCTAAAGAAGTGGAACATGACGACTAAGCAATTCTATACCATGCGTAAACTGTCATGTAAGGTGGCATATAGTCTTTACTTTGTCCCGTTGTTTGCGTATACCCTGAAACGCGATGTGTATGGTTTCCTCCTCCCTGAGTGTCATCCCAGTAACAATTTATAGCAAACTTAACGTCGTCTTTAACATCATATCCTTTACCTTTTGTCATTCCTGACCAATCCCAATATCTATGCTTATGCCAACCTGCTTGAGATGTACTTAAATCTATGTAGTGACTGTGTGCAGGTAGGTTTTCACCTGAAATCGTTTTACTTCCACCTGTTTCCTTTGAAGAGTTTGCACAATACAAAAACCTGTCGACTATTTGAGTCCAAGTTCCGAGACCAAGTACTACTTCTGGTCTGGTAGAGTTCATTGACGTGTAAATAGAACCTATAGGATATAGTGTTTGAAGTATTTCTGTCTTTAACGTTTGAAGCTCTGTTTTGTCAGCTTTCTTATCTAACTTTTCTTCAAGTTCATTTACGTCAGAGATGCTATGTCTATGATATTTTTGTGGGTATGTTCCTTCTGTCCATGCGAAAATACGTTCTTTTGTTGCATCTACATATCCTTTTATCCATGTCGAGTCTGCTTTTGTATTCCTTAACTCTGTAACACCTTTCTCAAGCTCTTTCAACTGTTGTCCATCTTCCATTAAACCTCTGGTATGACTTGAAACCGTTTGTGTCAACATATCTACAGTTTCTTTGTCGGCTTTAAGGTCTAAACATCCTGAAACCCACCCTGTATTGGCTTTACCTTCTAAAATCTTCGATGTCCGTTCATTATACCATTCAACCCTTTCTTTAATTTCATTGTCTTTTTCATCCACATATTCCTTATCTGCCTTCTTCACTAACCCACTAGCCAGATATGCTAACTCATCGTCAACATACTCTTTGTCAGCTTTCTTTTCAACATCCTCTTTTGTTGCATATGTTGCATCTGCTCTGTCATGTTCTTCTTGAACTTTTTCAATGACATACTCTTTGTCAGCTTTGTTGTCAACATCTGTTTTCAAAAGAAGTTCATTTATAGGTTTCTCGTTTAAAGTTCCTTTTGTTGGATTTATACAGACAGTATGGTTCTTATTGTCTTGAAACAGAAACTCATCTGTCATTGGGTTTAATGTCAGTTTTAAGTTTCCTTCTTTCAATGACTCAGATATCTTAGAATAGTTTGAAAAGTTTGTTGTGTTCTTATTTAGAGCTTGCATAATGAGTTGTCGGTTGTGTTGTATTTCTCTCATGGAAGCAATATCTTTCGACATTTTTATTCTAGATAAAATATGCTTCCAATAGAAAAAGAAAATTCAAGAGTTGCTACAACTAAACCATTAGATGAACTTTTTACTAATGTCGGTCAAAAGTTTGAGACAGAGACCGTAAAGCATGAAGGCTATCGTTTTGACTACCCATTAAGATGGTTAAGAGACCCATCTGTCACAAAAGCTATTGGCTTTCGTAGAATGAAGTTTGTGTCTGTAGAAGATAAAAGTTTTCCATTTATTGTAAGGTTTCATATAGATTATAATATCTGAAGGGAAACGAAAAATGTGGGAAGAAATTGAGCTAATACAAGTTGACCTTTCATCTTCTCTACAGACTGCGTTAAAAAATATAGAAGATAAAATAAATTCATGTTATGCAAAATATGCTGATGAATATGCAAATACCGAGAGCACACTTTATGTGAGAATTGTATATGACAAACAAAATTCACAAGTGTCATTTCAAATCTACGAAGACAATCCAAAGAAAGACGAACAAATATATACAGAATTCACTGCAATGTCATGGTATTATTGCAAAGAATGTTAAATCAGAAAGTCGAACTTCCTTTAGCAAATATTTACAGTCGATATGCAAGAGATGAACCATATTTATTTAAAGATGTTTTCGACCCAGCTGCTATTATTGTTCATGCTTCATTTTCTGGTGCACAAAACTCTTTCTTATGCTTGGCAAATGACTTTTACGAAAAACCTACAAAGTTATACGAACCACCAAGTGGAAGTATTTCGGATTTTCAAGTATGGTTTACTACAGATGGAAGAAAGAGAATAATTCCATTATACCATGCGTTTTACTTAGAACTTGTTTCATATACAACTACTATCGAACGGTAAAAATATAATTTTTTAATACGGTTGAGGTGTTGGATTTGGTTGCCAACTAGACTGTGGTGCAGGTTCAGGCTGTTGTATAACAGGAGCTTGTTCTTCTGGTTCAGGGTCTTTAGGTATAATACCAACGACTGACCTACTCTTTTACCAATATTTTTGACTCCGTTCCAAATTCCTCTTCCTACGGTTTTTATTCCATTCCATATACCTCTTCCAACATTTCGAAAGAAGTTTCCTATCTTACTGAAGAAACCCATTTTACTATATGTAAAAATCTAATGTCCGCCTAGTCTCTTACGTTTCCTGTTGAGTTCCATAGCATTCTTTAACTGGAGCTCATACATTCTGTTTCTCCTCTGGTAGAAAACATATTCTGGGTCAACTCCTGTGTTCGCGTCATCTGCATAAAGTTGTTTATATCCCACTTCAGGGTTTGTATAAAACTCTTTCCATCTCATATTTGCATACCATGGTGGCAAACCTAACGCAGCGTCATTTGACATGGCAGTTTGCATTTGTACATCTGTTGGCACTTGACCATAGTTTGCCATTGCAGTTTGTATTCTAACTTCATTTGGAATATTCTCTGGGTTTGGTTGTCCAGGTTGCTGTGCATTCGCTAAGTTCTGTGCGTCCATTTAATATTAGATAAAAATATCTCTTACGAGTACATATACTGGACATTTGCAGGCATTGGTTCATCTTCATATTCTCTATATCTTTCTGCCACGTCAAATAAGTAAATGACACAATGGAAAAAACCTAAAACAAGTAGTCCTATTTCAAACCACATTTACTTACCAATAAAATTTCTTTGTTATGACACTTTCTCCAGTTTATAGGACCTCTCTCATATTCTATCTTATCGTATCTAAACTCATAGTCATGTATGTCCTCTAACCATCTCATGACACTTTCCAAACCACTTTTATCGGATGTAAAGTAAAAGCATGGATGGTTATGTAAAACGTCTAAAGTTTCTAAAGAGTCTCTCAAAGTCCAGTCTACTTGGTATTGAAAATCCCATGTGTTATAGAACGGCGGGTCCACTATAAAGAAAACATTTTCCTTGTCTTTATATTTTTCATACAACTCTGTCCAATGACATCTCACAAACTCTATACCCTCAATATATTTTTCTATGTTCTCTTTGAAAACATTTGTATAGTTAAGATATAAAACTTTTGACATAAGTGTTTCAATGTCATGAACTCTTATAGCACCACTATATAATAGTCTAGCAGATATACTATCCCAGTCTATATATTCTGCTTTTTTCAAAACCTCTCTCACAATATTTTTCTTATCTAATGGTATACGTTCCATCTTACCTATAGGTATCTTTTCTTTTAACTCTTTCAATATTTTGTTTGTGTCTGGTATATGTTTGAGACGGTTCATATAGTTGTCGAAGTCATTGCATATAATCTTTGAGTCAGGAAATATTGTATGGCACAAATGAGATATATAGAAACTTCCACCGAACAAATCTACAAATGTTAGACCATTCGGTAGTTTCTTAAGTTCTCTCAATAGAATATCTTTACATCTACTCTTATTTCCAAAGAACGGTAACGGTGGTTTTGTAAAATTCATTTATATATATAATAAAAATGTTTTTTCCTGAAAAGTGACAAATTTTCTTAGGGGCTAGAGGGCACGAAGTGCCTGGAAGCCCCACTCCCTTTTTTTTTTTTTTTTTTTTTTTTGATATTGATATACGCAAATGATGATATAATATTTATTCCACGAATTATGCTTTGTTCATTATGATTTTGGAAATAAAAGGTCTTTCATAATTCATTTCATCTATTTTTGAACAAATTCAAATTGGAAAATCATATTTACTGGAATCCATTTTTCATCATGTTAAATGATTTTGATTTCGATAAGATGACACAAGAAGTTGTTCAACTTCAGGATACTCAGAAGAAAAATGAGGAAGTAAAAAAAGTAATGGAAGACATGAATTTACACGTATTAAACTCAATTAATTCTCAGAGACAAAGCTTATTAACATTATCTTCGCTTTGCTCACAATTATCAGAAATAGAAGATCGACACGATAAAATTGTTAATAATTTAAAGAGTCTAAGAACACAATTATTATTAACATCTCAAAAATCACAACAAATCCAACAAATATTTAATAAAGAGAAGGATCTTTGGTCCCCAGATCAACAAAATAACCGACAAATAACCTCAACAAATGTTACTTGCCTTAAAGCCGTAAATTATTTGAATAATGAAATGGGCAAGATCATCAGCACATGTCTCCATAGTGGAGATATGACTGTTAGCACACAAGAACTCAATATTTTAACAAACAATTTTCAGAAAATTATTTCAACTTATGATCAAACTGGATTGATAAAGCTTTCCGATGAGGACAAGATCCAGCAAAACAAATTCAAGCTCCAGCAACTCGAATAATATCAATTACATATTATTTTTGTTTCTAAATACTTATGTTTTTAAAATTATCATTTGAATACATTACTACTCCTCAAAAATATTTGAATTGGTTATAGTATTTGAAAAAATTTTTGGTAATTATATAGAAAATAACAATATTTTTTTAAATTACATGCTTTTTTTGTTTTGTAGTATATAACTAATTATTTTTCCTTATTATTAATATAATATAATAAGTATGCTAGCAATATAACAACAACAGCAAATATTTCGGAAGAATTAGGAAGACGAAGGTTGAATTTACTTCTTTTTTGAACCTTCGCACTATTCCTGATATAGTCGCTTGACTTTTCGGTAATTTTATACTTGCTTGGGGTCGATATAATTTTTTCAATTTTTTTATTGGAATCAACAACAGATTTCCATTCAGACAGAGAGACACCTATTGGCTCATTAATCATCTCCGAGATTTTTCGTAAAACTCCCCAGTAACAGCAAGTTACATCTGTATTTCTTCTTTTGTAAGCGTCAACGATCAATTGGCAAATATTTGTGTTTTTTATGACATTTGTAAATGAATCCGGAAACCGTTTGACGGATTCAAGGAATTTTAATGCTGTATTATGCAAAAACGAGTTTGTTGGGTTTTTAAATATGTCTTTTATGAATTTTTCTGTAACACTTATGACCTTTGGGAATTGTTGGTGCCTTTCTGAAAGATATGTAATGATAATATTCGCAGAAGCCTTGCACATCGAATCAAATGTGGTAGTTCCCATCAGATAATCACAAACTTCAGGTATCCTATCATCAACGAGGAACTCAATCGTGAACCATTCAGGAATTGTTTTATTTTTGTAAGATTGTATGTATAAAAAGTTTAAAAAGTCGATTAATTGGCTGCAATTGAGTAGAAATGCTGATTCAATGAGCTTTGATATGATGTTGGAGTTTACAACAGCGATTGCACACTGTCTTGAGTAATCATCAACGATTTGCTCGAAAAGCTTAATGACGTTTAGATTCATACCGGAACTTCCATTCACGTACATTATCAGAAGTGCTGGAAGATTGATTTGATGAAAGAAATTTCTGAATGATTTCGCTTTAGAGTTTAAACAGCCTTTCATAAATGTGAAAGCTTCTTGTATATCGCAATTCTGAACGATTGATTCGAAAAATTCTCCACTAGCAAAAAAAGGCAACAATTCATTCGATGTATCGAGTATAAAATATGGCAAAGAGTTAAAAAAGATATATATCGACGGGAGTTTGTAAACTTTGATCATGCGTGGATATTCCAAAATGTAATTTACATACTTTGTTGACGTGATTAATGTTCTTTTAACTGCAATGACGCTACACTCTAAAATAGCTAAGTAGGGACGTATCTCATGCGTATCTTTATGCCGTTCATCGAAAATAATTTCACATATCCTGTCAAATTTTTTCGTAATATAAAGCATTAAACTTGGATTCGCGCTCATCAAGTATTGACGAAAGGATTTGTGCATGACAACATTGGAAACGTCCGCCGAAAGCTCTTCAGATGCTAATATAGCATCTAGGCTGACTTCCTCTGTCATTCTTGATGTTTCAAAATCCAATGAAAAGTCACTTTTGTAAAAGAAACATCGCAATCAGATTTTTTTCGTATGTTTTTCACAATTCATTAATAATTCCTATTAGGAACATTATTCATTATACTGGCTAATCTTTTTGTGCACAGAAAATCGACACGTGTTACGAAATCTAACTTCGAATCGAACAATTTACATTGAAATGATTAAACATTTATTAACTAACTCGGAAATAGATACTTAAATTGATTTATCTCTATAAATCGATTTTCATTTCCTTGAATATCTCATTTTTTTAGAAATTTTCAATATTTTCTATTAATACATCCAAAAATATTTAAATACACATCAACCACATTAGTTTCTGATGATCTGTCAATTGAATAATTGTAAAGTTTTTTTTGTAACGAAATTTGAGCAAAATGCTCAGCTCTTACTACGTGGAACCTGAGCTGGGTGTTTTCCCTCCAATATTCATACATTCAGAAACTCGTATTGTTGTGAAAATAATCAACAATAGAGATGAATTTCTGAATTATGAATGGAGAATGCACTCAAATGAACAAGAAGAACAAGAAGTACTGGATTTTTTCGACACATATGATCCAGAAGAACGGAAAAGTGCAACAAATTTACTATTATTTAACTCTAAAAACTTTACAATTGATGATCTTACCGGACAAATATATCCACACGGAATGAAACAAGTCGTTATATCTTACAATCCTAAAGATGCAGCTGTTCATGAAGAAAAAATGTACCTATATGATACAAATTCTCATGAGAGATTACCGTTTGCTCTTAGAGGTGTCGGAATTCCTCCAAAAGCAACACTAAGTACTGATATGATCAACTGTGGCCATGTTGCACTAGATACTAGATACGAATACCAAATAACTCTTAAAAATACCGGAGAAATTCCATTAAAATACAATATCAAAAACGACAAAGACAGAAATCTACATTACGAATTCCATCCAGAATCCGGCTCCGTTAACACTGGAGAATCAATTCCAATTTTAGTTGTAATAGAAACGACAAAAGTTGGTCAATTCCAAGAAACATTCGACATATTCATCGATGAATGCCCTATAGAATCATTACATCTTACAATTGGAGGCAGAGTTATCGGTCCTTCCTTTGAAATCAATCCAAAGCAAGTTAATTACGGAACAGTGGCTTACGGGTTTGTTTATTCACAAGTTTTCGATATTAAAAATACAAGCGACATTGCTCTCGAATACAAAATGGAAATTCCTCAAGATCCAACTTTTGATATTCGCGAATTCTCAGTTACACCTAATACAGGCATTGTCAAACCACACAGTAAAGCTGCTGTTAAGCTAGAGTTCATACCAAACTCTCTAAAAGACTATTCTACTCAAATGGTAATAACAAATCCGAAATACGAGAATCCATTAGCGAAAATACCGATACAAGCCACATGTATATGTCCAAATATTATTGTTTCAACACCAGATATTAACATTGGCAACTGTTACATTGGTCATACAACTTTAATTAAAGTTACTCTTCAAAATACATCATTGTTTCCAGGCAAATATGAATATATAGATACAGAAGATCATACAGCCGAGCTTGACTATGATTTCTCTATTGAACATATCACGGGAATCGTTCCTGCAAGAACAAAAAGTGAAATTTCTTTCTTTATAACTTCAAAACAAGTTGGACCATTTTCTGTTGTAAGAAATTTCAAGATAATAGGTAGTGGTAAACGAGAATTCACTGTTAAAGGAATATCCATTGGTCCAACAATAGAATTCGATTCCAAAATCATTGATTTCGAAAAAATTGATGTTTTAAATGAAAAAACAAAAATTTTGACAATATTTAATAACTCGCCAATCAATGCTAATTATTCTGTTTCTCTCAAGACATCTGATGTATTTAAGATTAACAAAGAAAAAGAAGAACTTAAGCCTTACGAAAAAACAGAATTAGAAGTAAAATGTGTGGCAAATGATTGTTTGAAATTTTCAAGTGAAGTGACACTTTATTTCAATTATTTGATGCCAATAACTATACCTATTATAGCTAAAGGTGTTGGATTTCCTATTGTTCCTAATATAGAAATGACTGATATTAACATGGGATCAGTTTTTGTTTCTGAAAACGTGACAAAAGAATTTACATTGACAAATTTCGGAAAAAGGAGTTTTGAAATAAAATGGGAGATAAAAACACAGAAAGATTATACGAAGAAAGGATCTTTCCCAATGTTCCATGTAATGCCGGATCAAAGAGTTTTATTCCCTGGTGAAGAAATGAACTTTTCTTTTGTTTCTTCTTCAAAAAGATCTTTGCAATATAAAATTCTTCTAAATTGTATTTTGACAATGGGAAAAACAAAAATTGTCATTTTCAAACCAACGGTTTTTGGCACTTTTATTGAGCCAACAATTGAATTTGAGAAGAATGAATTAGTGTTTAATTATAACCACGATTTTGAAAGAGAAGAACAGATTTCCGGACCTCAAATCGAAGGAAATTCATCAACATTGATACAGCCATCGAAAGAATTGTTGAAACCATTGAGTTTGCAAAGTAGTTTCATTGTTAGATGCGAGATAAATGTCAATATATTCGCGGAAGTTGAATATCCTTTCTCTATCCAACCAAATAAATGGGATGCAAAACCAAACGAACCTATTCAATTTCTTGTCACTTTTGATCCAAGTTTCAAACAAAACTTTTTAAATGAAGTTGTTAAATCACAGATATATTTCAGCTTTTCTAACAAAGCGCAGAAATACAAAATAGATTTAACAGGAAAACTGAATTTCTCGAACATTAATTTTGTAAATGTTCAAAATTCGACAATTGATTTCGGAACAAAAATCCAAGATTCCGAAAATCAGTTCATCATAAATATTTTCAATCCAGGAACAATAGAAGCAAACTACGAATGGACAATATTAAAAACAGGTGATGATAATTCTAAAACAGTATTTGACATTTGTCCAATTCGTGGAAAACTTCTTCCAAATTCAAAAGATAATGTCACTGTTTCTTACAAAGCTTTGGGTGATGATACTAAATCATTCCATTATTCAACAGCTTTGTGCCATGTAATTGGTGGCCCTGATTATACATTTACTTTGAAAGGAAACGCTGCTCCTCTTAAATACAAAGTTTCTCCAACAGAAATTGATTTCGGAAATCGTTTGTATTCTGATAATTTGACAACAGCAATTGTTATTGAAAACCAAAGTCAAATTGAACTCCCTTTTTCTGTTTTTGTCCCTAAGAAATTGAAATTTTCGTTTTTGAGTTGTGATCCAATGAAATCTATTGTTCCGCCAAATTCAATGAAAACCGTTAACGTATCTATCGTTCCTGGATCACCTGTTAACTACAAAGAGATGATACACATAAAACTAGACCAATTTGAACAAGTAGAAATCCAGTTAAAAGTAGAATGCCAATTTAATCAACTGAAAATGGAAATTCCGAGATCCGAAAATGATGTAAATGTGAAATACAGTAAAAACAACAAAACAGAGTCATTGGAGAAAATCGAGAAAGATCTGTTTATTCAGAACTGTTCTTCACCAACAACTAAAACAAGAAATATTGTTTCGAAGAAAGGACAAAGACAATTTGTTGGAAATTATAACTCTCATTTCGTTGTTGATTTTGGTCAAATTATTTTAGGTCAAAAAGTGACAAAATCATATGAATTCACTTCACTTTCACCATTAACAAGTAGTTTTGAACTATTTGATAGTTGTTTAGAGAAAAGCGGATTCACGTTTGTTAACAAGAACTTTTCACAAATTTATGAAAATGAAAAATACAAAATTGAAATTGAATTTGAAACAATTCCTGATATAAAGAAAATTGGAAAAGTTTTGTACGAAATTCCTTTAGTTTTCAGTGATGAAAATGCTTATTTAATTGAACTCAAAGCACAAATTAAAACTCCTCTTCTATCTTTCTCTTCAAAGAACATCGAGTTTGAAGAAACAGTTGTTGGACAACAAAGAATCAAATACATCCAAGTAAGAAATGATAATCCGGTTCCATTAGATTTGGCGGTTTTGCCAGCGGTTATGACAAATCACGTAAATCAACCAAAAGAAGCTCCGTTTCATTTTGATTTGCAAAAGGTTACTCTTGAACCGTTTTCTTACATTAATCTTTCTTTGAAATTTGTTCCAACATCGGAAAACAATTTTAATTATCAGATACCGATAAAAGTTCAATATTCAAATGAAAATTACAACATAAATTGTTCAGGAAATTCCGTTGATTTGAAGATTACTTTTGATCCACCATCCATTGTATTCAAACCAACATTCCCTTACAATGATGTTTATCCAGAACAAGACTTCAAAATCATCAATAACAACAAATATCCAATAACTGTTATTTCGAACCAATTTGATTTCCAACTTTTGAATGAACAAATTCGACCTTTATCTCCGGATCTGACGAAAACACCATCTCAACCATTAATAATTAATGATGAAGAGAATACGCTGAAACAATTAAAGATAGTTGTAATTGTTCATGGTCTTCCAAAATCAGGAAAATCAACTGTTTGTCAAATTTTGTCAAAATATTTGGATTTACCACTTTTATGTCCGAAATCAATTTTCGAAGACAAGAAAGACCAAAAGGAGTGCAAGGACTTATTGTCTGAAATATTGTCAATAACTTCTTTCGCAAGAGGAATGATTATTGACGGTTTGGACGGCTTTGACGATCCAGCAGAAACGGATCAATTTATTCAACAATCATTGAAGAAAGAGAAGAAACTACATGATGAATTACAGAAGAATCCATTCTTTGTGTTCCCACATCCTTTCACAACAGGTAGTGAACAGATGTTAGATTTGATTTTGAGTGTTTTACCAGATGCAAGATTTTTCGGAGTTTTCTTGAATTGTTCGAATGAAACAATCAACAAAAACGAACAAAAATTTTTGAACGAAAACATAAAAGTCGAAGAAGAAAGGAAGCAACAAGAAATAATTAGGTTCTTTTCAATGGATGAGAAAGAATACTTGAGTTTGCCTCCAGAAGAACAAAAGAGAATTGATGAAATCAGATCAAAATATAGAAAAGAAATGCTTCTGAAAGATAACATTGAAGAAAAATTTACTCAATCTTCATCGAAGCTCCCAACAATAAAGAAACAAAAAGCAGTACCAAAAACAACAAACAAAGAAATATTATATAATATAACTATTGGTACTTTAACTACAAAATTATTGACAAATTTGGCTGTTGACATTTTGACACTTTTCCCTGACCAAAAATGTCAAGATCCTCATTCAATAAATTCCATTTTTGTTGATGCGAATACAGAAGGATATTCCGATAGAATAATGGCATTCATTCCTTCTTACAGTGAATTAAGTAAGAAATTGATTTCAATGACTTTGCCAAAACCAAAATTAATTATTGATTCAATGGAAAATGACAAATTACGTTTGGAAGATTCACCATTATTCTTTGGATTAGTTAATAATGAATCACCAATTGTTGAGCAGCCAAAGGAACCACAAAGTCCTGAAAGTCCAAGAAGAATAAGAGGATCAAGAAGACAAGAAAGAGATCCACCAAAACAAGTCGAAATAGAGAACATTTACGAAGGAATCAATATAATGAATTACACAAAAAGATGGGAATTAAATCCAGGAGAGAGTTATCAATTGAAAGTGAACTTCACCGGACAAAATATTGGAGATTACAATGATAATCTCAGATTTTCAATTGAAAACGGATCAAATTACACTTTCTGCTTGAATTTGCAAGGAAAAGTTGTTTATCCAGACTTGGATAGATCAAATGAAGCTATATTTAGTAGAATTATTCCTAAACTCAACCAGAAAACAAAGAACAGTTTTGTTTTACAGACAAATGAATTCCATTTCGGATCAATTTTGGCACAAAGTGGGAAAATTGGTGGTAAAAACTTTGTTCCTGCATTTAAACAATCATTTAGACTGTTTAATCCTGGAATACTACCTTGTGAAGTCTCTTGTCTTCTCACAGATCAAACAAACAAAACAATAATGTGGAATCTTGAAAACAAAAACGTGACAATTAATCCACATGAAGAATCAAATGTCACTTTTTCGATGCATCCCATTTCACCTGATGTTTACAAGAACAAACTTTGTTTGTACATTAAAGATAATCCAGAACCCATTTATATACCAATAGTTGCTGATGTCTGTGTTCCTCAATTAAACTTGTCAACAACAAATTTGGAATTCGACAAAATTTTGTCAAAACAAACAAAAATTTTGAAGTTTTCTTTGACAAATACAGGTAAAATACCTTTGTCGTTCAGTATCAAACAGTTAAACACACTCTCTGATGCAATAAAGTTCTCTTCAGATGGTGGAAAGTTGAATGTAAATCAATCTACAACGATAAATGTCACGTTTTCAAATCCAAAACCAGTTGCAATTAAAAAACAGATAACTATTGATATTTTGGATGAAAATAACGAGAAGACATATAACTCATTGCACATGAATGTTAATGCAGAAGCGTTTGATACTAATTTCGATTTCCAATGTTCAAAAGATGTCAAAAATGGTCATATTGATTTCGGAAACCTGAAAGTTAAAGACAAAAAAGACATCACATGTTATATAAAGAACAAAGGAAAGTATCCATTTAACTTTGTTATCGAACAAAACAAGAAAGTTCCTTTCGTCTTGTTAAACACTAATCAAGGACAAGTAAATCCATCGGATAAACCAATTCCAATCATTTTCACATTCAATCCTTTGAAAATGTCGAAAATTGTCAAAAAACCGACATTTAAACTCAAAGTTTTTGACCAAATAACTTCAACACAAACAAACCAAATGGAGTTTGTTTTGTCAGGTGAAAGTCAATATTCATCTTATGAGATTTCACCACAACAATTATTAGACTTTGGTCCAGTAATTACAGGAAGTAATCAAACGAAAACATTTGAGATCCAAAACAACGGCGTTTTTTCATTTGATTGGGAAATTTTGTTGTCAAATGAACCAGAAGAGAAAGAATCCAACAATTCAAAGAAAGGAAACAACAAAAAGAAGCCTCCACCAAAGAAAGGAAAACAAAAACTTGTTGTTGGTCAATTCTCAATTCTTAATAATGCTGGACAAATTCAACCAGGAGGAAAAGAGCAAATTCCAATTGAATTTTCTTCAAATACTGATGGAACTTTTTCATCAAGTTTTTACATTAAAATCTCAAATGTGCCCGAAAACCAACAGTTTATTGTTTATAACTTGAGTGCCACTACTTACACGCCTCTTGCCGATATGAAGAACATCGAGGAAGTCTATAGTGACATGAGAATTTGTTTGAGAGATGATGTAGAAAGAAAAGAATCAACATGTTATTTAGAAGATGAATCTTGTCTTCATTTCACAAATAACAAAGTAAATGGACAAGAGAAATTAACAGTTAATATTCCAAACCATCTTCCGGTTCCTTGTGTTGTTATCCCTACATTAGTACAACAGAATACTCCTTTCTCTATTTCAAAACAAGAAATAGAAATTCAACCTTTATCAAGTTCACCTTTAGATGTCACTTTTTCGCCAATTTCGGATGGTTTATTTAAGAATACATTGCAATTTAAGATGAAATCCAATGCGAAGAATGTTCCTTTATTATCACAGATCTTTTTAGAAGGAAATGCAACTTATCCTGTTATTAACATTGTTGATAACATCGAAAGTTATTCTTTTGGAAGAACTTTGCTTTCAACAAAGAAAGAAAAGAAGATTAAGATCCAAAATCCAACGAATATTTCGATTTCAGTGAAAATGAATTATCCGAAATCGAAGAATTTCATTGTAAAAGAACTCCAAAATTCTGTTTTGAATCCAGGACAAGAAGAAACATTTAAAGTCATCTTTAATCCACAAGAAGATGGGCAATTCGATTTCAAACTCGAATTAAATGTTGAAAATGAAAAATCTTATAACATTTTGTTCTCAGGACAAGGACATCATGAAGAATTAGTTGTCGACGGAGAGAATTATGAAGATGACACTTTAGTTTTCGATGATGTTGTCGTTGATCAACAATCTTCAAAGATTTTGGTCATGAAGAACTTGTCAAATGATTATATAAGATACGAATGGAATTTGCAGAATGGAGATGTTACATTTTTTCCTTCAATGGGACATATTCCTCCAAAACAAACTGAACAGTTGAGAATAACATTCAGATCAGAAAAACCGCAAAAATTAAACACAAAAGCTGTTTGTTCTTGGTCGAAAATCCACAGAGAAACAACAGAAAAATGGAATGACAACATTGTAATAAAGAGATTTGATGTTGTTCAACCTTCAGCTCCTTCCAGTCAAAAGAAGAGTCCAAGGAGAAGTTCAAATAGAAGAAGAATCGAACCTTCTCCAAGTTCTTCATTAAGTGTTTTGCAAGAATTTTCCGAAGTTGCTCCAGAACCAGAATTCACAATCATTGGCAGAAAATGCAAAGATATTGTTGTTAAAATCCTTGCATTTTCTGATTACGTCAAACTTAGCACGAGTTTGACTGATGACATCAAGAGCAAAGAGAAATCAGCAGCGATTTCATTTTTGCAGACAATGATGTATGAAACGAGAAAAGTCAATCTTTACTTGTTGAACCAATCGAATATTAAATTGCATTACCAAGTGAAATTCTCCAATTTCGAGTGCAATGGGTTTGGCGACAATCCATTTTCTGTTTCACAAACAAGTGGATTAATTCCAAGTAATTCTTCTTGTCCTTTGACGATTTCGTTTTCTCCAATTGATGTTGATGATTTTTCAATCGATATGACAATTGCTTTACCTGATGTAACAGAGAACCAAGTTATAAAGATTTATGGAACTTCAGTTCGTCCTATTTGTTTCATCGACGCAGTGATGGCGAAAGATCTTCCTGATGGATCTAAATCAATCGATGTTTTCACACCTCAGGTTGGAGATAAGAAGTTAATTAAACTTGGATTAAGAAACACAACAAACAGAATTTATGAAGCACACATCAAACAAATTGATGGTCCAAGATGTGTTAAGTGCTTCACAGTATCTCCAGTAATTGGTGCAGGAAGAAGATATGAACTTGAATTCGAATTCAAACCTATTTCAAATCGTGCAGCAGAAACAGTTTGGGAAATTGAAATTCCTGACCACGATTTGAAGCAAAGATTCGTAATTGTTGGCAGAGTTGAACCAAAATAATATATTATATATTTTTGTTTTATATTTATTTATATATTTGTTTATTTTGTTTATTAAATAGTATATTTCGAGTATAGTATAGTTTATCAATTGAATTAATGAAAAGTATCTTAATATTAAAATTATATATTGTCGTTCGAATGAATGTTATTGAGTAAAAAATTGAGTGAATGCTATCGAATCTTCTGATAAATATTTCACGCAATCTGTCGGATCAAACTTAACATTGATGGGATCATTCCCTCCACAAAGATATGTAGAAATATGCTTTAAATACAAATCAAAACTAGTATTGGCAACAATATTCGAAGCAGGAGAATAAGTGAAAGTATTATTCTCAAGATATACATTTGTCGCTATTATTTGTCCTGATTGTTTAAATAAATATTCCCCTTTATTTCCTTTAAAAACTACATCTGAAATTAAAATGTTATCTCTGCAATCCAATAGTGATCCACTATTATGTGAATTATTGATATATTTGCAATATTTATATTGAACATTTCTTGTCTCACCACCAGAATATGATGTTGCCATATTGTTATAAAATGTACTATAATTTACACTACAAAGATGACTAGAACTGTCACCACTAGTTCTCATGAGGCATTCAAATGATGATCTACCATTTGAAGTGTTTAACTTACCAATATAGTTATCACCGTGATAAGCTGAACATGGCATATTTCCAGTTGGACACGAAATTGAACATTCAAGAATGTAATTTTTATTATTCCTTCCACCGGATGGCATTACCCAAGAATGCGGTTCATTGGATGAAGTTTTTGGCTTATAGTTACAAACATGATATTGCACGCATTGGCCTCCAATCACATATAAACTTTGGCCATGCGTATTGCCAGTAACATTACAAAAATTTGTATTTATTAGAAGAACCCTGTTTGAATCTGAGTTTCCAAAATATATTACTCTATCATTCTTTGTCGTAAATAAAACACTGAAAATAAAATATGCCGCAGATGAGGTGGATATTCTTGTATCTGTAGTGTGGTTTTTGAATGAAGGAGTATTTGGATAAAACATTTCCCAAGTCGGCAACATTAAGTTATTTGGTGAGAATTAGAGTCTCTCAATTTTATCTGAATTTGGTTCGAGATCACTCAATTTTAACCATAATCTCTCAATTTGAATCTATTTCATTCAAATTTTTTATTTCAGAAAATGAATCTCCTATAGTTGATCAAACATTACATATAAAAAATTTTGGATATAACGTTAATTTATTCTCAATTTTTCAACGGATATGTGGTTGGTGTCGATTGAATGAAAAGCATATATGCATTGATATTTTATAAAGAAAATCGGAATTATTTAGATCTGTAAAATATTTCAAAGAATTTTTTAACGTTCCCTTAAATTAGAATTGCAAAAAATTAAACAAATTCTTATCAATTTGGCCGAACCCGAGATCCAGCCAAGTTGCGAAGATTTTTTATCATTCTAGGAAAACATGTCATTTTTGAATGAAAGCTCGATAAAAAAATCGAGTTTAATTTGAACAAATGCTATTAGCTCCCTAGGATATCGATTTTAGGAAAATTTATTTAAATATGCCACTTCTACTATAATATAAATTTGAATGAAGTTTAGTTTTTGAGATAATCTCTCAATTTATTTTTAAAAATTTTGCTTTGATGTTCCACAGGTATCAATGTACCACCTTTTAGTTCTTTCGTTGGATCACTTAGACTACACCCTTTCAAAATTTCAATTTTTATCGAAACCACTTAATGTTGATAATTACAAGTATTATTCTTGTTTCATTTAATATTTTCAGAAAATTTCTCTTTCTTTCAACTCATAGAATTGTTTCACTGTCGCAAACCATAAAGATTGGAAAGATTAATCATTTTGCTTCTTTTTAATATATAGGCAGCTTTTTTGAGAGGAAAAAAATTCCGAAAATTATTAGAAAGGGGTTTATTTCAAAATTGTAAATTCAAGAATTCATTCTGATCAATTTTATCGGCAAGAAAATTTGTCAACATGAAATAATTTCAGATTCTTATTAGCTTAGGATAGAGCAGAAATCTAATTAGTGAAGCAGTTTTCTAATATGTTATTGGAACATATTCTCTAAAGTATTCAATTTGAAATATTTGAAATATTCTTTCTAGAAAACATATTTACTTAGGTAAATAAAGTTATAAAAATAAAATAACGGAAATTGAAAGAATCACATGCAATTATAGTATCTTGAAATTCAATATGCAGTGCAGATCCTTTAACATCTGTTACAAAATATTTAAAGAATGATTTGATAATCTGAGAATTCAATTCTGACTCAAAGGAACATTTGGGTGAAATTACATTTATGGCACTTTTTGAAATAATAAACGGAAATTTTGATACTCATAATTCGCGTAGTTTGGATCAAGTTTTATGCTTTAACACTATATTATATATTTATATTAGTTGAATTATTCATATGAAAAGACCATATTTATTATTTTAAAGTAGGAATATTTAATGCTACAACAAATGAGATTTTATAAACAATGCTAACAATAATATTGATGTCTCCTAGAGCTAATTCACCTTCATGATAATTTTTAGAAGAAACTTTTTGATTATCTTTTAAATTTTTAGCCGGACAAAAAAATGTTGAATAATGATTTATTAATGAATCAAATGGTTCAATTGATCCAAATGTACCTGAATAATCTTTATTAACAGTTTTAGTTACAGCGTTTTCATTAAAGTAACAATTATTAATAGTTGGTTTACAATCAAATAAATAGTTTCCTTTATTTCCTATAAATGAACAATTTAAGCATGAAATTGTGCCATCACACCTTACTATTCCCCAATTCTTTCCTGTATATTCATTGCTTATATAATTACAATTTGTAATATTAAAAAATCCATCACAATTGTATATTCCAGCTTCTGATTTAGATGATGTATTCGATACTGTTGTGAGATTCATAACTCCTCTTCCATTTGGATGATCAAGCTTATATGCAGCATAAAAAGTAATATTGTGATAAGAGGTATTCATATTACTTACTTGAATATCTCCTGAATAATGAAAAATAGAATCTTGAGATCCGCTGCATTCTGAAACAGAACATTCAAATGCGTAATTTTTTTGTTTAAGAAAAATATCTGTTTCAATTGCATATGCACCACCATAATAACTGGTTGATGAATGGAATAAATAAGTGCGAACTATAACGCATTCAGATTGGTAGAAATAGAATGATCCGCCATTTTGTGTGGAGCTGTTATTATAAAATGTGCATGTTTCGAGCAATACTTTGCTTGGAGAGCTAAGGTATATTGCAGCTTTTTGATAATGGAAAGAAAATATTGCATGATGAATGTAATAATTACCGCTTCCTGATATAGTTTCGTTATTAGTTCTATGATTAGGCTCAACAGAGCCGTAATATTCAGAAAAGCTTTCTTGGAGTCCCATAAAGAGTTGGATGGCGATTGATTTTGTTTAATACGCATTTCTGAGAGTTGATTCATGTAAGTAACGTTGAAATGATTGTTAAATATGATTGAGATGTGGTCGTGAAACCAATCTAAATTTCTGACCTTCGAATTGTAAAAAATAATCGTTCGCAAAGGAATTTTTACTCTACAGATTAATACTATTCTTACTTTAGTTTACATATTACAATTTGTTTTGCTGAATTATTGAAAATTGTGAGTGCTATCATATCTCTGTATTCAACCTTTGAGAGAGGGTCAAAGTTGCTATTTGTCACTTTTCCACAAGAATATAATGGGGAAAAAGTTATCATATAGTTGATCTCATTCACTGAGGTGAGAGATGCATGTAGTGTAATATGTAATGTGATAAACAGTGGGATTGCTGCTCTAAGTCCTAGGTTCGAGACACATTGGCTTCATTTTTCTCTTTTTTATTGACGTAAACTATTCAATTTTTGTGTTCTCCATTCAAATTTCAGAATTTTTTTTGCAGATTTCACGCTACATTCGAAGTTACCTTTTGTAACAACCACCACTGCCTACGAAAGACGAAAGTGTGTCACGATTTCACCCGGAAATCCGACGGTTGTTTAAGAGTATGCACTTTTGTCACCTACTCATTCAACCTTTTCATTCATTTCTATCATAATTTCCCACGTGGGCAATATTTCTTCAAAAATAGACCATCTTTTGGCAATTGCGACATGCTTATATATTTTATAAAATTAATATATGTTTGTATCGGAAATTCGGGAGATTCAAAGCTCAAAAAATAAAACTCGATAATTTTAACATATCTTTATTCACATTTGTTTATAAATTAGTATCAACTCATTAATATCTATCAACTCCATGATTCAATTTTAATGATGTCAATAAAATTCATTTATATTATAAATATTAAACGGTGTATAGTATGTGTGTTCTGATAACATTAAAATCTCATATACTGGCAATTTGGCATTTTTTGTCACTTTTTATTAAATTGTGTCTTATTAAAACTCGATTTTAAAAATTATTTTAGAATACTGATATAACGTATAATTTATTTGACCAATCAAAATTTTAAAAAGTTCAGTATTTGCCATTTTAGACTTCAAGCTCGACACATTAACCGCTTTTTTAAAAATTGAGACTGACATCTCTAAAATCTTCTAAAAAATCCATATATCACATAAAATAATATCATTAAAATTCCTCTCAATTTTAAATTTTTTTATAAATTGAGACTGACATCTCTAAAATATTCTAAAAAAATCCAAATATCAAATAAAATAATATCACTAAAATTCCTCTCAATCTAAAAAATTTTTATAAATTGAGACTGACATCTCTAAAATCTTCTAAAAAATCCATATCTCACAAAAAAAACTCAATTTTATTTTTACACTCAAATTCCACTCAAAAAATCTATTTGGATAAAAACAAGGCAGAAATTTCTCAAGCTTGCATTCTGGGCACGTAAGTGCCCAGAATGCTAAAAGGCGAGTAGCGCCGTCGCTGAATATCAAATTCATTATAATAATTATTTTATTATAAATCGATCTGTTATAATACACTGGTGCAATACATCAATTTTTTAACCTCTAAATCCAAAAAAAAACTCAAATGAGATCACATTACAGTCTTGTTTATTGTATTAAATTAACAATGTCTGGAGAAAGAGCTTCAAATAATGGGTCATTATGATCGATTTCTCTATGAGCCCCCTTTTCTATCAAAAGTTTAACTAATTCAACATTGTTATTTAAACAAGCGTTGAATAAAGGAGTGTTGTTTTTGTATAGACAACAATTAACATCTGCTCCATTTTCAATAAGGAGATTCGATATTTCAAAGAAGTTATTTTGTGTTGAAATAATGAGAGGTTTTTCATATTTTGTTCCATTAACATTGACACCATTTTGAATGAGAACTTTTGCAATTTCAATATAATTATATCTGCATGCAATAATTAAAGGTTCAACTGGCTTTCTTTGAGATAAAGCTCCATTTTCGATCAGAAGCATCAATATTTCCAGCGAATTTCCTCTTGCAGCCAATTTAACTAATGAATCAAGTCTGATTTTATCACATTTCGGGATAAGAATTTTTGCTAAAGGAATATTATTCATTTCAATAACTTTAACTAGCAAAACAATATCAACAACTTGGATTTTCTTTGCAATCATTAAAGCCAAACTATCATCATGACTTTTAATTGCAATATCAAGTGCTGCAATGTTATTGCTTCCTACGCTAAAATCAACGCCATGATCAAGCAAAATTTTAACAATTTCGTAGTTATGATTCTCAACTGCATTTGTCAAAGGAGTTTCATGAGAAATAATAATGAATTTCGTAGTACATATAATGAGATTAATAAAGAATTCCATAAAATTAAATTGAATGTTTCTGTAATTTCCATTTGAAGTAATATTGATATCAGCACCTTTTTCGAGCAAGTATTTAACTAATTCAATATCATTATTAATGACAGCAATAGTTAATGGTGTTCCCAATGATGATTTTATGTTTAGATCATATCCATTTTCAATAAACAGCTTCAGAAGATCTTCATTCTTTGTTTTAACAACCTTTTCATGATGACTTTTTGATCTTTTGTTTCAACAATTTTGAAATTTTCAAAAACAAATCTCACGTATTCGATGTATTTTTTATCGATCATGTGCTTAAGAATTGTTTCTCTTGGAACTTGACCTGTGAATCCTTGTTTTGCCATGTACTTAAAGAAGTAGAAGTAATGTCTTTGTGCAATATCTTCTATAAACATTTCTTTGGTCAAATTATTCTCCAAACAAAAATAAAAAGCTCTGAAGTTGTAAAATTCTAAACATCTTTTTGCATCGATCTTTTCGCATCTATAGTTCTTTATTAAGTAATCACATAAAGCATAATGATGGCGAGCAATTGCACACTCAAGGCAATAATCAAATGAAAGGTTTTTCGATTCAAGAGTTTGAATAATTTCCATGTTTCCTCCAAATGCTGCATTTCTTGCAATTTCTCTGTCCAAATGAAGATTTGTCGTGAGGAGATAGTTCACACAGTTAATATGTCCTTCTCTGCATGCAATACACATCAGGTTATGCTTTGTTTCTGTTTTGTTTGATCTACACATCTTTTTTACATAACTAATGTTATCTGAGTTCATTTTATCGTTTGTTGTGTGATTTGGATTTGAAACTGACTCGAGTTTGATTGAGTAGGTCTTATAGTTAATATCATACTCTGTAGAGAGCAATGTTTCAAGGTTTTTAAAATGGTCGGGTTTATAAAAATTTTTAAAATAGCCAAGAGTGTTGAAAACTACTTGATCTAGTGCAATATCAGCATCTAATATTTGTTTGAGAGATAGAAAAGTCGATTCTAGATTTTCTAGGTTATAATTTAAAATTAATTTTTCAATTTCTTCGTAAGTATTAAATTCTTCAGGCATTTGTATATCCTTAATACTTTTAAATTTCAAATTGCTCGGAAGAATGTCAAGATCCGCTTCACAGCTGCAATCACAACAACAATCACAACTCATCAAACAAATATTTGTCCGGCCATGGATGATTTCATGGAATTGTGTCAGTAAAAGACGTGATTTCAATATAAGTTCATATAATAAAGTATAAAATTTCAAATATTTCGAACTTAAAATTTACTTTTGTGGCATAAAATCCTTAAGAAATAACAATATCTTATACAAAATTCCCATTCGAATGCTTGTTCATGATCTCTATTATTAGTTGAATAGAAAATGAAATAAGAGTTCAATAAATTTGTAAAATAAAAACAAAAATCATTTATATAACTAAAATGAATGTAAAACCGCATTTTATTCAATATAAAAACATATCGAAATTTAATTCAAAACGAATTCATGTTTCTTCTTAATGATTTGATCGATTTTAGCCTTAGCTTCAGGATCCTTGATCAAATCTATGTATTCTTGGCCTTTAATGTTCTTAGAATCCAAATCAATTTCTTCCTGCTCCAAAAGGAAGTAAACAAGGTCATATTTTTCATTTTCGGCAGCAATAAGTAACGGAGTATCGCCACATCCTGTCTTCATATTGATGTTAAAACCAGGAAGAGTCAATAAAAATTGGAAAATTTCAATAAATCCTCCTCTTGCAGCGAAATGCAAAGGGTTCCAATCTGTTATATCAGCAAGGAGCATATTCGCACCCAGTTCCTGCAAGAATTTAACAGTTGTCAGATTTCCTTCATTTGCTGCATAAATTACAGGAGTACAATGTGCGACATCATAAACATTAATATCAACACCAAGTGATAATATATACATCATGGCAATATAATTACCTTTCCGAGTAAATTTATATAATGCGCATTCAAGTTGAATATGAAAGATTTCTTCGCCAAAGATCTCCTTAAGCTTTGGTAATAAGTCAAATCTATACGTTGCCAAGGCCGTAGCAACAACCTTATCCGCTGAACAGCTTCTTCCAATTAAATGTTCCAAAACATCCAGCCTTCCAGCGGCCACTGCGTACTTTGTTGCTTGGTTTGGAGGTACTCCAAGCGAAAGAAGATAGTCAATGCACTCAACGGCTCCGAAATAAGCGGCATATTCAATTATATAAGGATTTTTTGTGAGAAATTCGTTGATTTCTATAGGTAATTTGTTGATAGGCTTATCACCTTTTTCTGTAGTATCTATAATTTGTTCTAAATAGATGGATTTATCTTTGAAAATCGCTTCACTTAACTGAGAAGGTCCTGAACCAGAGTTTATCAAATCGGTGAGGAGTAAGAACTTATCTTGCACTAGTTTTGCATATGAGTTTCCGAGATTTTGCAAAGATGACTCGATATTTGAACATTGACTTAATTTTTCGAGGCAATTCGAGTATGTAGTCTTTCTATGAGCAGATAGTTCAGGTGCAAAGTATAAAAGTAGAGAGAAATATGTGTTTCCTTGGCTAGATGGGAATTTTGCAATTTTATTTCCGATATCTTTAATGGAAAATATATCAGCTTTCATCATTTCACGTAGGAAATTAAAATGTGGAATCTTTTTACGATAAGATGGTGCTGATTTGAAGCAGGCAGAGAACAAATTTTTCCTAAATGTCGTAATTGGGCTGTCATCTTCCAAATCTTGAAACATTAGCTTAAAAACAGATATAAATGGTTGGATCGTATCAGGTCTTATTGCTATTAATGATAATATTTCATGTATAATTGGTTGAATTAAATCTGTATTTTCCGAAATGGTTTTTATGAAGCTATTTGCAACTTTTTCACTCCCAAACTCGTTTATTTTTAATACCACCATCTTGATTGGTTCGTATTTAAGCCCGCTGGTCCGAAGCCGTTGGGCATAATCATCATTCATTTTTCAATAGTGTTTTTATTTTTATCGTCGCGTATAAATTATATCATATAAATAAATACCATAACTTTTGAATTCCAATAATGTAAATTTTGATATAAAATGTCATTTTTCATTTTATCTGCGAAAGAATCTGAATTTCGAATATATAGCTGCTATATATTCAAAACGAAAACTTTTTCGATACATTTGATGTAGAGGATATCACAGAAATCATGAAGCATTCACACTTGACAGCAGATCAGTACATTTCTATTCTCAAGCAGTCTTCTTCAACTATTAATGCCAAACAATTATATGTCTGTGCGCGAAAAGCAAATGTTTCTATTCACAACTTCGAAGAAGTTGTTTCAATTTTGAAATCTATCAAAAAATACATGAAATTCAATATATTTGATAGCATCATTGATATTTTAAATCAGAATTACAAAGATTTGCGTGATTCTACAGAAGAAATCAAAAAACTTCAAAAAGAATTACAAACATTTCGAATTCAAAGCCAAAATGCAGCCAAAAGAACTACAGTCATTCAAATTAAGGAAAATCACAACCAATCCGGAGGGTTTTTAACCAAAATCGCAGAACTTAAGAAATCTGGTAGCTTTGACAGTGTTTACATATTCCTTGATGACCTTTCTGCGAAAGGAAATAGAGAAATGATGAAAAAGGCATGTGAAAAAGAACTTTGGAAAAAGACAACAACAGATAAAAATATACTTTTTGTAGCATGTGAAAATGGAAATCTTCGGCTCACATATTATCTCATCGAAAGCAACTGCGAAAAAGATGAAAAAAAATTATTATGGATTTACTCCACTCATTAAGTCATCAGAATATGGTCATCTTGATGTTGTTAAATATCTTATCTCTGTCGGAGCCAATAAAGAGGCAAAGGATAATATTGGATATACTCCACTCATTTATGCATCAGCAAATGGTTATCTTGAAGTCGTTAAATATCTTATCTCTGTCGGAGCTAATAAAGAAGCGAGGGGTATGTTTGAATACACTCCGCTCATTAAGGCATCTAAAGAAGGCCAACTTGAAATTGTTAAATATCTTATCTCTATTGGAGCTAATAAAGAAGCAAAGACTTATTTTGGAGAGACTTCACTCCAGATAGCATCGGATAATGTTCACAATGAAGTTGTTGAATATCTTATCTCTGTTGGAGCTAATAAAAACTAATTCTGGAGGTTCTCTAAAAGAATGACAAGTATTCTAATCAGCATAAATTCAAAAAAGGCTAAACTATTTGGAAAAATTCAATAAAAGTTACTTTGTCACCTTTTTCGCAAAAAAAATGTTTTTCCTATTTTCAGTCGCCAATTCCGAGTCAAAAGCAGGAATATTTAGTAAAGTTTATAATGATAAAATTATTGTCATTGATGCTAGTGGATCTTCCAAGCAATATATCAACGGAACTAAGCAATTGACGAAACCAGAATATTCTATTTATCCTTGGACAAAAGAATATGACTGGTGCTCCAACTGTGGACGCTCATATGACGAAAATCCGTATATTACATACTCATTACAGAACAAAAAGATCAAAATCAGCGGATATTTCGTAAGATGCGGCTGTTGCTATCATGGATGCTGTTGCGAAGATGACTACTTTGACTGCTTTGACTGCTGCCTATATTCATGGTCTCTCCAGATTTCCGATGACAACAGAACATGGAAAGAAGTTCACAGAGTTGATAAAGATGATACAATGAGAAGATGTAACGAAAAAAGCTATACACTGGATAAGGAATACGCTACAAAATACATTAGATTAATTCAAAATGATCCATGCCCTGGCTTCCCACCATGCATTGCAATAAACAAACTTGAAATTTACGGAGATATTCTGAATGCAGATAATTCTCAAGATGATGAGTTTGTTTCTTATCATGATGATGACGATGATGTTAGTATTATTGGCCATATCTCAAAGAATGGAAGAGTTATTGAAAATTAAATTTTATTTTTATGATTAAATGAATAAAATCAAAATTTCATACTTTGTTAAAGCTAAATGGCGTATATAAGCTGCATCAATACTAAACTCAACCCTTGAAAGATTCACTCAAAGATCATTTATAAGGTGACTAAAGTTTTTTTCGCCTACTCCGGGCAAGTTTCAATGAAACTCTTTCTGTTTATTTGGACTTCTCAATAATGCAGTCAGATTTTTTTAAAAGTAACAAATTATTTTAATTATAATTTATTCAGCTTGAACTAACATTGATATTGTCAAATTTTAAAAATCATATCAACACAACCTTTATTTTTTAGGTTCAGTCTTGTAAACTTTCATGTGAAATCTTCCGATCTCAACCAAAATCAAGAATTTTGGCCAGCTTTAGAAACTTTTGCGCAGCTTTTGATATTTGATTATTATGTTAACCTTAAGGCTTTTTTGGAAATTGCTATAGTTGCATTGTGCACAGAATTCTTAATTCAGTTATGTAGAAAGATTAAACTTCACAATTCAATAGAGGTTTATTATTAAAGTTTATACACATTCTTGTTTATAACAAAATTCCTGAAATTTGAATTAAAGTAAAATAAACACATAAAGATACGAAAATGAAATTAATTGATCATAGCCATAATTTTTGTTTCTTATAGTATTACATGGAATCGGTGGCATGATATCGCATTGTCTCATTCTTTTTAAATTTCCACATCCCCCAAAATTATTACTTGGATAATCATCAACAACATATATGATTTTTGGACAGTAATTACCACCTATGTTTGCTCTTCCAAAAGTTCTAGAAGGAAAAATATTTAAACCACAATAAATCAAAACTTCAAAATTGGCATTAGCCCCTATTGACAAATTAGATGGATGCGAAGAAGCCGTTCTCGGCAGGCGTAAATATTTTAATTTTTTCAGAAAATATATTGATCCTGGATAAATATAAAGTAAATGGCTTCCTTCCTCAAAATATATATTCTCAAGATTATGACAATAAGAAAATGCTTCGCTGAATATGTATTCAACGTTAATAGGAATATGAACTGCAGTTATTAAGGTGTTTGTACTGAACGCATACTTTCCTATTTGAGTAACAGGTAAATCTTCAAAAAAGTTTAGGATATGGATAATTGATGATGTTGTCAAATTGCCTGCATTATTAGGACTACTTAGATTCGTTCCACAGATCGCATAATTGTCATATTTATTATAAACAACACCTTGTGTTTCAACTATCATGGATTAATCCATCATGATGAATTCATTAGAAAAATTGACTTTTTTTTTACTTTTCTTAGAATTTTCACCGCCTTTCTCCAAAGAGAAAGAGCGTTATCCTCATAGCTCCATAACGATGCATAGCTGAGAGAGTAAGTGCTGCTTCATTATAAGCTTGATATGCTATTATTTTCTAATATGATAACGTTGAATTTTCATAAATCAAAAGATTTATGGTCCCTATTTTATCCCTCCGATTCATATACGTATTTATCGAATAATTCTATTCCAGATTCGAGTAATTTTTTTATTGACGAAGCTATCTTTCAATATTTCAGCCCAGAAGGGCCTATAAATATATCCTATGCTAGTACTTCAACTGTTTGCATTATGATTGCAGATACATCTTTCCTTGACATATCGAAATTAACAAATTCAGGGGGAGGATATTTTATTTATGATGCCAAATCTGTTGTATCAATTAGAAATTGCTTCATTAATACATCAATTCAAGTTGGAACAGAATATTTAAGCACAATTGTAGGTAATGCTTTTTCATCCCGTGTTCATTCAGAAAACCAATCGTTAAATTATTTAATTCAATCCACAATATCTCAATGCGGAAGTATTTATTCGAATGATTTATATCTCTTAAAATATGGACAAATTATTTCGAAAGAAACTAATATTTCTGATTGTACAGTATATAGAAATGCAGGTGGAGTTAATGAAATAGATAATAACTCTACAAATATCATATATAATACTTATTCTCGAAATACAGTTGGTGATTTTGGAAGACTTCTATATATAGCTTATTCAAATAAGACAGTAAAGTATTGTTCGTTTATTCAAAATGAAATTGATGCAGGCGGATTAATTTTTGTTCAATATGGAGCAAACGTCGAAGTTATTTTGTGCTCTTTTTATAAAAACTACGCAAAAGTGTTCATTGGGCTTGGAACAGATATTTCGAATTATTGTACACTGATCAATTGTTCGGTAGTAGATAATGTTTGGAAAACAGCTTTAACATATACAGAAAGAATAAACACGTCATTCATTGGTCATGACAAATTCAATGTTTTCCCTAATGTATATACTCCAGGTCTGTGTATTTGGGACAATATGAATTTTTATTCAATAAGAGAAAAATCTTGTAAGTTCCAAAGCATTGGATTTCGTTTTAGCTATCTTTTTGTTTTTATTCTTATGTAAACTATTTCATGATTATGAATGTTGAAGCTTTTTTCGTTTGTCCTATCATAGAGCATTGAAATTTTTTTACGCTTTGAAAACCACAATTTTATATTATTCACTTTGAATATATTCAAGACAACAATCAATTTTGAAAATTTTTCATAAAATCGATCAAATTTTATTTAATCTCAACTTCAATCCACATGAAGCAACATATTTAAATACATAGTTTTACATTCACCTTGTAATTGAAAGGTTAAAACCGTTATTTTCAAAAATGTAAGGAAATCTTCAGATTTGAATATTTTTATTACTCATAATACCATAAACAAATATGATTTTTACTCATCAAATAACTCATTGAAATTGATTAACAATTTTCAAAGCATGCAGTCCAAAAATTCATTCTGAAGAAACCATATATCAATAACAAAATAATGGATATTTTATTTGGTAACTGAAAGTTTACGATTATTTTTCAGAACCTAAAAAAATGAGCTCTCGTAATATCAAATCTTTACGTATGTATTTATTTCTAACCAACAGAGTCGTTTTCTTCTCAAATAGACACTAAGATCGAGGCACCTTTAAATGCAGCATGGGTTCTAAAGCTTAATTCCAAGAAAAAATATGATAAACGTTTTTTGGTTGCTACAACTTCGGCTCTTTATATTAATAGTCAAACTGGGTTGTGGAATAATGTTAAAATCAAATACGTTTATCCTTGGATTGACCTTACTTCTATTCATGTACTTGATGAATCAGAAGCTCTTTTTAAATTCGATGGATATAGTTTGCACATCAAGAAAGAAAACATTGATTCATTAATTATACCAATTGTTTCTTTCTTAAAGTCGATTTTTCAGGATGAAGATACAATTAAGTACTCAATTCCGTATTCTATTCCTCCATCTTCTGTCCCGAAAGATCAATTTATTTACTTGTTTTTGTCTTGCAGTCTATCTCTCGATGAAAGACCTGTATCGCAATTATTACAAGCAATGAAAAAGAATTTACTGAAAAACCTACCGCTGGCAATTGTTCATCACTCACTCGAGCCTAAAGTTCTTGCTGCATTTTGCAGGGCTTTAAGCTTAACGAGAAATGTTCATAAAATTGTAATTGGTGGTCTTCATTTTCATAACCTTTACGGATCATTATCAGTAATACTTAATGAAAACAATACTATTGAAGAACTTACCATCAAAGACCATCAAAATTCAAATGATTTCAAATTATTTGTCCAAAGTATTCCAAATTCTGGACTTAGGACAATTAAATTTGTTAATTCAAGCTTTACTCCAGAAATGGCAACAAGTTTAGTGACAATTCATCTCGCGAATAACCTCAAAAGATTGAAATTCGATAATTGTAATTTAAGTCCTCAAATTTACGAAATTTTCTACAACAATGTTAAAGCATTTGAGAAACTCGTTTGTTTGGAAGTCTGCAATGATTCGAAGAAGATATCTGAAGCGATGCTTCCAAAAGTTTTCAAATTTGTTTCTCTGGCCGACATCCAAGAGTTTAAACTCAAAAATATGGATCTAGATATTGCTGTTATTCTAAATTCAATTACCGATGATACACTTTACCTGTCGAAATTGAATCTGTCTCAAAATTACTGTTCAAAGATCACAAAAACTGATCATTATTTCCCAATTTCCATCAATAAACTCAATTTGAGTGAAGTTTCCTGGAAAATGAATTCGCTTGCCGAATTTTTGGCTTTACAACCTTTCAGATCAAGCATTGCTGTTGATTTTTCCAATGCCCAGTTCCCTCCAAAGGTCCAGAAATTCCATATCTTTGAAGAAATGCCAGAATCTACGAATATTTTCTTCATTAACGATATTAGATGGAACAAAAACCCAATTAACGCTAAACTTTTGCATTATTTGACATCAATTAAGTCTCTTAGAACAGCTTTCTTCGAAGATTGCAGCTTTTCCATGGATGCCAGAGATGAAATTTTACTTGCTTTCGCAAGACTCATCAGCGACACTAAATTGGAGAAACTTTCATTGGCAGGAACACTCCAATATTTCAATATTAACGGATTAATCGCTCTACAACGTGCTTTGTCCTCTCATAATTATCTTCTTTCACTAAATTACTCTGGAAACAACATTGGTGATGAAGGATTGAACATTCTTAGTAATATACTCCATATAAACAAGAGTATTGAGCACTTAAAGGTCGATAAATCCAATTTGACGGATCCAAACAAATTTATTCAATTTATTAAGGATCTTTCAACGGTTGAGAACTTGGTGTACGTTTCTAAACCAAGGAAAGACATCAGATTTCTTAGTACTAAGTTAAACAAATCGTTTGAAAACACAATTAAAACGGTTTGGGATGATTTCGCCAGAGAGAATGAGAAGAAAGCTTCGGACAGCAATTTCAATGACATGTCCATGCATTCTGCCATGAATTCAACCATGGAAAGCTCAACTTCGATGTATGAATTAAGACCACCATTGGTTGAAGCAACATGGAATATCAACATTGATATCGGATATCTTCCAAATAACTGGGAACATGAAGAAAACCTCTTTGCATATGAAACAATCTTGAATACTACTTTACCAACGTTTGAAGAAGAAGAGGATGAGTTCGTTGATGAGCCTGATCCATCAAACATACTTGATATAGAAGTATTTTAACTTTTTTTGTTTGTTTTTTATTTTTTTATTAGAATAAAAAATTTTATCATGAGTTTATAGTTTAAATATTACTAATCTTTTCATGTGAAACTGTTTCTATTTACTTAGGTTTGCAAGATATTAGATGAAATAAAAAATATTGTAATTTCGTTCATAATATGAAAATATTACAAAAGTAATACATATATTTTCGGATTTGTATAATTTGAGCTACCTTTGATATCTTCTAATTCATGATCAATGCAATATATCTCATATTATTTTCTCAATTTAAGGATTCTATCAATAGCACAATGATTTTTTATTGGTTTTGGATGTATTTGTCTGATTTAATTAGTAAAAAAATGTTGTAAATTTTCCTATAAAATGAAATATTATTTTTTTAAAGAGAAACGTTTTAAAAAACCAGGACAAAATTAATACTTAAATCATTCCTGCTTCACCTTCAGCCGGGCCAATTCCAGGGATTGACTTCTGGAAGTGCATGAGGGAAGATTTGACCATTGTGAAGTTGTAGTCTGTCTGTTCAGAGATCAACCTCATCTCCGATGACTGGTTGTCGCTGAGAGACTTTACGAAGTGGTCGATGTACTTGATTGTGGAAGGAAGTCTTTCAGGAGCAGCGAGAACGAGAAGGAGAATGGTCATTGGCAACCACTGGTCAGCACCGATTTCCTTGTGGCCTTCGAATGTCAACACAAAGACAAGAGTATTCAATGCTTCACTGAAGTAGTGTAATTTGACTAATGGAAGTGGAGCATCAAAGGCTCTTTGTAATTGACGTTGAGCTGCTTCGAGTAATTTCGGATTTTCTTGGAAGGTTGAAGTGAAATCGAAAGTATTTTGTCTGAGAAGTTCTTCTTTCTTATCCTTGATGCCGTTGCAGCAGTTCTCATCGTACTTGGCGTAGTCTGGATTCATCTGGAGGAACCTTTCGAGTGGTAATTCGCGCATGATGATGTTATGAAGAATTTCGAAGGAGCAGATTGGTGTATAGCTTCTGTTCTTGCACCAGCCTTTCCATTGTTCGACTGTCTGGTTGAAGAACTGTACGAATTTGGCACTTTCTGTGCATAATTGGTCTGAAATTGAAGCCAAAGGCTTTGTTTCGTTCAACCACTGCTCGACGAGATGGAATCTAAGGACATCTCTGTAGAAATCGATGGATTTCTTAAGACCCTTTGAAAGTTGTCCCATTTGAGAAAATTCAGTGTTGTAAAGGGAAATCTTTGAAAGTTTCTCGAGTCTGTCTGGTTGTCTTTGTTTAAACTTCTCCTTAAGAAGGTTCAAGAAGTCCTGGAATGAAGAACTCTGCTTATCAGCATCAACCTTACGTCTAGCTGTCTCGAAATCATCAATCTTCATCTCCAAGAGCAATCTGTGGTCTGGGCGAGCAAGTTGGACCTGGCTCTTGAGGAGCGAAACCATGTCTGGAGAATCATTCGATTGAGCAGCGAGAGGAATGACATCTACGCCAATAAGCATCTGGCGAAGTTGAAGTTCGATCTCATCCTGAGGAGATAACTCGGAATTGGAGTGGTCTGCGTAGTGAACTTCTTGGACAGATGGCAATGTGAAGGAATATGAGTTGTATTCCTCACTTGTGGCCTGGCGATCGAGCTGGGTTGGCTTGACAGGGAAATCTGGGTTGATTTCAATGGCATAAGTAACGAGATCTGTCAAATTTGCAAGATCTTCGCTTGTAAAGAGGGCAGACTTGCCAAGATCTGGGAGAATCTTGGTCAACTTCTCGGCAGAAGGAAGTGGTGAGGCTTTTGGAACTTCGTCGATGGCTTTCCAGAGTTCATCGATATGTTTTCCGAGACTTTCAGCGATAAGGTTGGTTGGTTCTGGTCCAACACGAAGGCTGATTGGAACAATGCCGAAAGTAAGTGGAGAATCGAAGGCTGGCTTGATAAATGACTCTAAAAGTAATTGTGCTGGACTGTCTGTGAAAGTAGCAGCTGTTTTGACGATATCTGGGCAGAACTGAACAATGTCCTTCCACTTCTGAATGAATTCGGTGGTGAATTGCTCGGCTTGCTCGGCATTCGTAACAGATGGGACTTTATTGACAAGGTCGCTGATAACTGAGTCGAAGAATAAGCGGAATTGAGGAAGAGCAAAGATTACGCGAGCTAATGTTTTTGCGACAATAACATTTGTAGCAATAACCTTCTGCATGAACTTGAGGAAATTCTCGGCAGCTTCGGCGCTCCAAAGATAGCCGAAAAGACCTGGAATTGTTGAAAAAGTGAGTAAGTCGGCAGATTCTGGCTTCTTTGTGATTAATTCTGAAACAGACTTAGCAAGGAGCTCGATATCTGTTGTGAAGACAGAGATAATCTTGTTGAAAACATTGACTTGGTTTGAAGCTGATGGCTGCTGTTGTTTGTCTGGGATATCCTTGAAAAGAGAATCATAGTATTTAGGTGGAAGTTTAACGCACTTATCACCCATAGAGCACATGTGTAAATAAATAAGGAATTTCTGAAGGTATAAAACTTTTTGTGATTCATTTCTCAAGGATTGGTTAAGTTCCTTAATTTCATTTGCCTGAAAATCGTAAAAAATATCTTCGCGCTTGAGTAAGAGCTGGACATGGCGGAGCTCGTCCATCAAGTTTGATGATTCTTTGACATCTGTAGATGCCATTTATATTCTATTGTCAATTTTTCTCAAACCGGTGATTTGGTTTATTTTCGAATAAAAAATTTAATATGATAAGAGAACCGTAATGTATATATACTGTGAATATTTTTTGTAGCTATTAAGTGAGGAGAAATTGACATGACAAATTGAAGATTTCCCAAATCCAAGAAGAAATTCTATTTTAGAGATCAGGCTGTTCAATCCTATGCACATCCTGATATATGGACCCATCCTATTTATGATTACCGGTAAAATTGAAAAAGATATAAAATTTGATACTTGCTGAATTGCTATATTACTCCCTAAATAAATTCCATGTAGAGCAAAACATTGATGACTGAACTACATACATAATAATTTAGTTAATAAATCTAGTTTGACTTTCAATTGGTAATCATTTCCTCGGTAAAGTTAATTTTGTTTGGTTTGATGATATAGCAAACTTTTTCAGTATCCAATCATTCAATCAATGATGATATTGTTAATCATCATTTAATAACGAATAGCAATATGTACATTCGATTGTACATGGCATATATTGAGAGCAATCCATTTTCTTGAAACGAATAAATGAAATTAGCAGTTTTTAGAAATTTTATAGAAAAAAACTTTATAAAAATAATATTATTTTATTGATTTTGAACAAATGTAACAACAGTACGTGATGGGTTAAGCATAAACACGCCATAACGCTCATAAGTATCGAGGGTATTAACGAGATCTTCTTTTGTAAAGCCGCTGTTAAGAATGAGTTTCTCAATTTCAGAAACGTTAACATTCTTATGACCGCGGAATGCATTGTTAATCTTTGTGTAGATTGCTGTAATGTTATCTTGCTTACTCTGATCTTCTGGCTTTGTTTCGAGAGAAAGTTTAGAAGCCTTAACAAGTCTAAGTGCTTCATCAACATCATCAACTGTAACAACGTCAGCAAATCTTAATTTAGCAAGAGACATTGAAAGACGGAGAATAGCAAGAAGATAACGTGGTGTAATAGGCTCTTCTGTATTTTCCATACGCATTTCAACATAAGCTGAGCTAATGTAATTTTCGAGTTCTGGAGGAATAATAGGACTATACTCCTTAGCCTTAGCGATATGTTCACGAAGCTTGGCTAAGCTAACGCGAGCTGTTGAATCTGGAGCGCGCATGTTCATATGGACATAAGCGATATGTTCGGCCAAAGCTTTATCACTTTCAACTGTTGGACGATCTAAGAGTAAGAAGAGGAGATCGAAACGTGAAATGAGAGCAGCTGGAAGGTTAACGTTTTCTAATAATGATCTGTTAATTAAATATCTTGAATGAACAGGGTTAGCAGCAGCAAGAATAGCTGTTCTAGCATTTAATGTTGTTGTAATTCCTGCCTTAGCAATGGAAACTGTCTGTTGTTCCATAACTTCGTAAATTGCTGTTCTATCTGAGTCCTGCATCTTATCGAATTCATCGATACAGCAGATACCATTATCAGCAAGAACAAGAGCACCACCTTCAAGTGCCATTTCGCCTGTAACTGGATCTTTAAGAACTGCAGCTGTTAAACCGACGCCAGATGAACCTCTGCCTGTTGTATAAACAGCACGTGGTGATATACGTGCAACATACTTAAGAAGTTGTGATTTGGCAACACCAGGATCACCCATCAACAAAATGTTGATGTCACCACGAATACGAACACCATCTTCGAACGTACGAGTAACGCCACCAACGAGTTCAAGAAGTAAAGCCTTCTTAACATCATCCATTCCGAAGATTTCGGGAGCAATTGAAGATGCAAGGGCAGCATAGGTTCTTGCTTCTTCATCTGTTGCTGTACTTGTTTCTTCTTCAAGTTGTTCGTCGTATTTCGGTGCTACAATGATGTTTTGTGCTTCGATATATGTTTCACTGACTAAACTCTGACGAAATGCTTTAATTGGTAATGGAAGGAATATACCACTTACTTCAATAACATCACCAGTATTGCAAAGCTGAACGAGTGAATCACGAGCATAAATTGTCATTGCGCGTGGAATATGGCCTGCTGGAACTTCGCTTGAGATTTCTTGTACTCGAATAACTTGGAATTTCTCGAATTTAGATCCACGAGTTTGCAATGTAAGTTGACCTGGTTTTGGATTGTTTTTGCATGTTTGAGATTCGCAAACTGTCTTTGGAATGAATGTTGGTGTTGTAATAGTTTGAAATGTTTCTTCAGAGCACTGATTGCAAGTATATGTAGCCACAGAAATAAGTGGCTTAACTTGTGTAATACGTGTAACTAAACCACGCATGCGAACAAGTTGGCCGATATTTTCAGACTTAACTTCTCTCATAGGAAGAACTTTTTGCTTTGATGGTAGAAGGATATGTACGTTAAAGCGACGGTGAAGTTGTGGTGGGAACTTCTTTGGAGCTCCGGATTCATTAGCTGCAGCAATACGAGCCATTGCAATAGCTTCAAACTGATTACTCATGTCGAGTGACTCTGGAATCATTTCATCAACAATTCTCGAAATCATTTCAATATAGCGATGTGTATTTTGTACAATACTTCTGCCTAAAGGTTCGTTATAATCGAAAACATCATCTAATTCAATTTCTAAAGTATCTGAAGTTCTTTGAATGATTTTGTCGATAAGAGCCTTGTATTTAGGCTCTGATTCGCTACCTGTGTATGTATCTAAGAATTCTTTGAGCTGCTCAATCTGAGTTGGGTAGTTGATATATTGATTCTTCGACTTCTCGCTCATTGAAAGATCGCTCGTTTATAATTAGGCCGTCCGTTAAGAAAAGAAGAAAGTGATCAAATTTAGCGTAAAATAGTCTATACATAATCAGTAATATTGAATTTATCTTCTAAAATTGCTTTTAGTCATATTTTTTACTCATTTCCATATCCGAATTTGATGAAAATGTGCTTTTGTGAAACATAATTATCTATATCTTAATACCAAGAGTTATTTAAAGCATATATTAGAATTATGGTCGTTGCAAATGAAATCTAATAATTTTTCAATACTATTTTATAAAAACAACAAATCACATCTTTATTTTGGAAGGCACAGCTATATTACTCATAAAAATGAATTCTCTCAATCAAGAACATGCTCAATTAAATAATTTTGATTGAATTTGTTGGATTATTTATGATATAATGCAAAATTAATAGTAAAACATGCTTTATATTAATATGATTTTTTATACAAACAAATAAATAAACAAAATAATCATCTATACATCTGGCATCAGTTTTTCATTAGCAATTTTTGTTGCATTTTCATGTAACAACTCCACTCTACTCTTTATTCCTCCTCCTATTGGAAGAACCTCATCAGTTGTTGAAGAAAGGATTGTATCAGCCTGATCTCTCAAGTTTTCAATTGTTTCATCAGCAGCTTCGATACTAAATGTTCCTTTTGCTTCAGCGCGTCTTTCCACAGCAGCTCTCACAGCCATTGCCGTTGATTTTGATCCAGCAACAACAGTGACGTTTTGTCCGTCAACTCTTAATGTCCATTTTTCTCCTGTTGGTGCTTGTCTTGCCATTGGAGAAAGTAACGCTTGTGGAATAGATCCACCTATTCTAAAGATATTCTGTACAGTATTTCTCGTCAAACTACTAAATGTTGAGCCAAGATTCACTTTTTGGAGGTCAATTTCTGCTGAAAGATCAATTATATCATAAATATTTTCTAAAACAACAGCTGCTTGATTTCTACATGAAGCAACTAAATCAATGGTTATTGCCGTTGTAGTTGTGATATTTAATGGCAATTCCCAATTGATATTTATTGTTTGAATATTTGGTAAGCAATAAATGTCTTGGAAACCAGTTGCTGTTGTAATAATTAATGATAAACTTAATCCTTGGCATGAATATGATCCTATTGGAGTTAGTTTGACTTGACAAACTAAATTTGATCTTCCATCTGGAGAAATTGACGGAATAAGGGTAATTTCGCCTTCTAAAGCTTTACTACCATTATTTATGGACTTGATTATCTGCGAATCACTTAGATTGGCTTCTACATCTGAAATTTGTTGCAAAAGTTTTTCATTTTCTTCTGAAATTTCACGAAGCCTTGAAAGAGAAAATTCAATAAGTTCTGATCTTGGTGAAATTGTGATCGGAGACCGCTCTTCAAATGGAATTAAAGCTCCAGAAGTTGTTATGCAAAATCCGCTACAGGAAGCAACGATTCTTGCAGGGAAAGAAGCAACAATACTGAATGATGATGGGTTTAATAGTGGTGCTGAATAAAGATGTCCTCTAGAAACAAATAATAAATTCGGATCTGAAATAGAAACAGCTTCTACAGGGAAAGGAATAGATCCGGATATTTGTCCTCTAACAGATATACTATTTACAGTACCATATTTTCCTGTAAGTATCAGCGTTTGTCGAGAAATTACAATATGAGTTATTGGTTCTGATTTTGAGATAAATGGTTTGGAGATATCGTGATGAACATCAAGTGTATTTGGAAATACAAGCGTTGACAATGTTCCATCTTTGGCTCCACAAAGAATAACAAATGGAAGATTGCAATTTTCATCAACTAAGTTATATAACTTAGCTAATTCTGTTGGAACTGGCTTTAATGTAGTAATTTCTGTTTCAATATTAAAATCTGAATGGATATTATTATCTATTATCATATAAACATGAGAATTTATAACAAGATATATAGATTTCTCGTAGGGAACTATAGTTATAAATGAATTACTTGGCAATGCAAACGGAATAGTTATTAATTCTGTAAATACAAAATTATCTATTTCATTTTTGAGACTTCTTTGAGTTAATGAGCGTTTACAGACTGTAAAATGCGAATCAATAACGTAAACTGTGTTTGCTGATGGAGAAAATATAATTCTTGATATTAAATTTTGGAAATGAAAGAATTTTGAAAAAGATTGATCATTTTTAAGAAAAAGCATATGTCCATCAGGCGTTGCTGCTATCCACGAGTTTCCATTAGCTATCTGTGCATACTTTGTTGGTCGAGATAACAAGAAAGTCATAATATCAATTAATAAACTGATATGAATATATAATTAGCATCCATTACAAAGAAGAAGAATATCAGTTAATGGTTATAATCTTAATGTTGTTTAAAAAAAAATCATAAATTATTAAAAAAAAAAGATCATTTACCATAATAACACTGAAATATTTGCTTATCTTGGAATTGGCTTTTCAAGATCATTAGCTGTAAGCCAAGGAAGCAAATCATGTTGTTCAGCAGGGATATTTACTTGAACATACATATCATCGCATTGTCTTTCGAAGAGATCTGCGGCAACTTTTTCGAAATCTTCAGTTCTAACGCGATAAAGACCTTCAAGACTTAATAATGCGATAACTTTCTTAGCAATCTCTCTTCTTACGCCACTCTTTGCATCCTTAGATACTGCAAGCCAATCCTTGAATGCTGTAATGACGTTTTCTGGAAGTCCCCAAGCACGACCAATTTCTTGGCACTTTTCGAGAACTTTGAAGTGGTCGAACTTAACGAAGAGGGTAAATCTTGCATCCTGACGTGCCTCTGCTGGTTTGTTAAGCTGTAGATAGCATGTACAACGGTTAGATATAATTGCGTATTCAAACTTTTCGCTACGTTGGAATCTGTAAGGTAAAGCTGTTTCGTATGCGACGTTTCTTGCAAGTGTAAACATTTTAACGCATTCGTTGAATTTGAAATCGCGCATTGCTTCTCTTCCGTTTTTCATGAAAGTTGAATAGATAAATGTATAGAAATCTGGCTTCCTGTCTTCCATAACTTCATTATGTTCATCTTCAATGGCTTTCATGAACTTCTGGTGCTCTTTTCTCAAAATCTTATGTGCTTCGATTCTGAAGTTTGGCCAGGCCTTAGCGAGCTTGCCAAAGTAATCCTGTACGAATTTGTCGATCTTCTCTCCTTTCTCGACTTCGTTGAGCCAAACACGGAAAATGAGTTGATTTTCTTGTTCTTCCTTCTTTACGAGGTCTTTCCAAGAATCATCCTTCTTGAGGAACTTCTCAAGGATTCTCCATAAGCGAACTTCTGGATTTTCTTCTGGTATTTTGAAAGTTTCGATTAATTTGTTTGCCATTTCAGGTGTGCGAGTGATTACACCTTTCTTATTGTTGCTTAAGTAACCAATAATCTCGAGATAGACGAAAAGAAGAATTCTGGCGTTACCAAACTTATCTGATTTGTTAAGTCTCAAAATTTCTTCGTAAATATAGCATGTGAAATTAACATGTGTTAACTCTTTTGAAACCTTGCCGAATCTATCAAGAATTTCAATGTACTGAAGAGATTTTGGATCATCTGCAAAATCGTAGTCCTTTTTTTCGAAGAACTCTTTAAGGAGCAAACGAGCAAACTGCAGTGTTTCTCTTCCTGCAGACATTGCACTATCAGCATCATATGTTTGACCATAAATTGTAAGGAGTGTAGCATATGGCTTCAAATTTTCTGGGTTCTGTCTGATTTCTTCTAAGCACTTTTGTTCTGCTTCAACATACTTTTCTTCTTTGATCAGAGCTTCTGCAGCTTCACACATTTATTTGAATACGCCTGTAAGTGGTCACTTAAAATTTTACAACGTTTTTTACTCTATTGCAAGAAAGAAGTAACATAAGTTTAACACTATCAAGCAAAATAGTTTGTTTGTCATTTCATAAGAATTAGAAAGAAATATTGGCCACTATATTTATATTATTGATCAATATTTATATCTTGACTGTCTTCTAATTGATACAACACTATTTTAATATTTTCTAGTGCTAACTCGAGTAAAAATAAAACCTTCTCCTATTTAAATAGCTGAATGAACACTTATTAAGTCCTTAATTAATTCAATAATTTCGATTATATATGATGGAAATCACTAATCTTATTAAACTCTTTTAATTGTCCTATAAATGTACATAAGATAACTCATTTTCGATTCTGCGAACAATAACTAATTTTGCATATCATTTTAATCAAAAAAACATACGAGGAATCTGTACAATTAAGCTACAATCTGAAACAAAGGAGATTATATGGTTTTAAGCTTCCAAATTCAGAAATATGCTCTAGAATAATATTTTATTAAATCAAAACTATGTGAAATCTATATAAAACTATGAGACATATGCTAGCATGTTAAATTCGACATAAATTATGATAGTTAAAATTTTTCTCATCAAGCGAGAAAAAAAAATCAAATAAATTTTCAGAGATGACAGATTTTGCGCCATTTGGCGAAGAACCAAAGAAAGAAGATACATCAATGCCCACTTTTGAGTCACTTGGTGGAGAAACTGAGACAGAATTTACCGCCACATTTGATGATCCAAAAAAAGAAGATACTTCAATGCCTACTTTCACTGCATTTGGTGAAGAACCAAAAAATGAAGATACTTCAATGCCAACATTTACAGCTTTTGGCGAAGAACCTAAAAAAGAAGATACATCAATGCCTACTTTCACTGCGTTTGGTGAAGAACCAAAGAAAGAAGATACATCAATGCCAAAATTTGATTCGTTCGGAGAAGAACCTAAAAAAGCAGACACAGAAACGTCAACATTTTCAGCATTCGACGAAGAACCAAAGAAAGAAGATACATCAATGCCAAAGTTTGATTCATTCGGAGGAGAAAAGGAAACAGAATTTACAGCTTCATTCGAAGATCCTAAAAAAGAAGATACCGAAATGCCAACATTTACAGCATTTGGCGAAGAGCCAAAGAAAGAGGATACTTCAATGCCGAAGTTTGATTCATTTGGAGGAGAAAAAGAAACAGAATTTACAGCATCTTTTGATGAACCAAAGAAGGAAGATACTTCAATGCCTACTTTCACAGCATTTGGCGAAGATCCTAAGAAAGAAGACACGTCAATGCCTACATTTACAGAATTCGGATCTGAATCTAAATCCAAAGATTCAGATTCTCCTCAGTTTAGTTCATTTTCAGACACAACTACAGAAAAATCCGAATTTACATCATTCGGATCAGAAAGCGGAACAACTGGTGAATTTACATCTTTTGATGACTTTTCGAGTGGTTTTTCATCTGCTAAATACGAGAAAGTTAAATCTCCACTTGAGTTGGCCCTAGAAGGCATTGAAACAAAGCTGTATCCATTAGAAGAAAGCCAAGTTAAACTTGATTTTACGGCTATATCTCAGAGAATAACAATTCCGAAAGCAATTTCTTTCAAAGATTGTCCTCTTGCTAAAGAACTATCCGATTTCTGTACTACTAAGCTTAATCATAATTATACTTTCTCTGAATAAATAGAAATTTGTTAGAACAGACAGTCAGTATAAATTTTTTTTATCAACTCCATACACTCAATATTTTACAAGAGTGACAATTACCTTTTCTGAAATTATTGTGACATTTATGCATTGTCGCTCAAGTTCTCTTTTGTGTACCCAAAAACGAGAAGAAAGGAAGCGATTAGTAACCTAAGGGAAAATAAATAAGGATGTCACTTTTCATGGAACTACTTTTCAATGCCTGAAACGATATATGTTCCTCTCAAATGAAAAATTTTCAAACCTCTAAATTCATTCAATTTTTGAATTCGTAAATTAAACATTATAACAGGTTCATTTCCATGCCATGTTTCATAAGGGAAACTGTCATAAGAGGTGTCAAATATAGGATGAAATATCCAACTCCTCAAGCTAGAACAACTGAAGATTTCATTGCAGCCGACGAATTCAACAGTGCTATTTTTTGCATAAAGGAAACATCGCCGAAAATTTACTCTAGGTTATGCCACCGTTTAATGCGTGTGAAATTTGACCTTCTCTTCGTGATAAACGTGTCGCTGACTATCTACAAGAGCAGATTTTGGAAAATTTTGAAAAAGTTATTAGAATCCAAAAAGACGAATCTTTATAAAGTCATTTCTTTATTCTCATACAGCACATTAAGTATGATATGCCAGCTAAATTCCGAGATAAAAACCCCCAATTATTTGGTTTATTAGACTTTTATGCTGGTAATTGAAGATTTTGAGATTAGTAAAAAATTTCTTTGAACATGAATAAATGAATTAACAATTAATTCAATTAAACCTCTAAATTCATTTAATTTTTGAATTCGTAAATTAAACATTATAACAGGTTCATTTTCATGCCTTGTTTCGTAAGGGAAACCATCATTAGGGGTGTCAAATACCGGATGAAATATCCAACGCCTGAAGCAAGAACTACTGAAAATTTCATTGCAGCCGACGAATTCAACAGTGCCATCTTTTGTATAAAGGAAACATCGCCGAAAATTTACTCTAGGTTATGCCACCGTTTAATGCGTGTGAAATTTGACCTTCTCTTCGTGATAAACGTGTCGCTGACTATCTATCAGAGTAGGTTTTGGAAGGTTTTGAAAAAGTTACTTAGAATCCAAAAAGACGAATCTTTAGATAGTCACGTTTTTATACTCCTGCAGCACATTAAGTTTGACATGCCAGCAAATTTCCGAGAAAAAAACCCAGTACTATTTAATTATATAGATTATTTTGCTGGTAATTGAAGATTTTTAGATCAGTAAAAAATTTCTTTGAAAGATACAACTGTTTAAAATATATTTTCTAAAATCATAATATAGGGTGTCCAAAGGTGTGTTTAGCACAAACCTGAATACTGCGAATAGAAATAAACAAGTTACATATATATAAAGTTTATTTAAATATAATCACCATTGGATTCAATCACGCGTTCGCAGCGATCGATCCAGGCTTGAAAGACACGCTTTAAATCATCATGAGAAAATTGCTCAAATTGCTCTCTTACAAAATTTTCAAGATCATCTGGACTCGCGAATTCGCGTCCTTCAGCTCTCTTTTTTAGCGTGCCGAATAAATAAAAGTCAGAGGGTGCAATATCAGGTGAATAAATTGGGTTTGGAACAACTTTGACATTGTTTTCCACCAAGTAATTCATTACCTTATGACTTTTGTGAACTCTTGAATTATCAAAATGAATTGCAAACTTTTGTTTTTGTTGTTTGGATTTCTCAAACTCATCAGAATTGATAATTTGAGTAAGAACATTGTCAATTAGATACTGAGCATTCATCGTATTAGGTTTTTGAAGAATATCAATTGCGATGATGCCATTCACGCCCCAAAAAACCGACAACATCATCATTGGTGTGTCAATTTTTTTCTTCGGGAATGTTTGCGGATTTTCATCCTTCGGGATCCACATGATTTTGGCTTCTGTTGCATATTGAAACCAAGACTCGTCCCCTGTTACTAAAAAGCGAAACTTCTTGGATTGATACGCACCCAATATAGAGAGGAGCTCTTTCGAAGATTGGACTCTAGATTTTTTTTGAACTGAATTAAGGTTGTGCGGAACCCAACGTGTATACGCTAGTTTGTAGTTCAAATAATTGTGCAGATAATAACTGACTGCTGTACGTGGTATTTTTGTCATCTCCTCTATCCTTCTGAGTGATGCTCTTGGGTCTTCATCTAGCGCTTGAAGAATTGCTTTGATTTTTCTTTGATCCGGCGATTTTTTGTCAATTTTTATGATGGGCGCCTTTTTGTTCATGAAGTGATACATCCTAACATGATACGTTACAGTGGAATAGCTAGGAGCATCCATACCGAAGCATTTTACCAATGTCTCGTAGATTTTTTTACAGTCTTTGCATTTTTTTGCAAGAGCGAGGATGTTTTCTTTATGATTCATTAAAAAAATGAAAAAAATCCCGCCAAAATTTCCCGCGAAACCGCCTCTTGTCTCAAAATTCATTTTATATCCCGGCATGGCGCCAAAATACAACATACTCATCATATACATATATTCATATTTTTTATTATATATTTATAATCAGCATATATCTCCTTTAATAGTCTCATATAGAGCGCTGTGCTAAACGCACCTTTGGACACCCTATATAAAGGTAGTCTCGGATATAATATATTTTTCTTATTTCGGAAGTACTTTGCTTTAAACTACTCAATTCCTTTTCTTTATTTTTCAAATAGTTCTAAGATCTTTAGCAAATCTAATAATGCAAGGTTTTTCTGAAATATCTAATTTGATGAGAGGCCGCAGAAAAACTCTGCCATAGTATAATGTAGTTGTTGGGATCAGTCAACAAAGAGCGAGAAAACTTATCTGTAATTCGTTTGTGCTGAAGTTATCTGAGCATCTCTCAATTGAGGAGGGAAATACAGAAATCTTCATTATAAGTTAATGCAGATGTGATTATATTGCTCTTTGCCAGCCATAGAACGAATAAAAAGTTTATCGAGTAAGTAAGCTCGATGAGAAAACTTATTATTGGGTATGAGAATATAGTTTTCCATTTTTATAATACTCTAAGCTTTGTTACCTCATATATTGTATATTTCCTTATTAAAATTTATCTTCCTAAACGAATTGCGACTTTCATATCTTGAATTATAATTTTTTGGAAGTGAAAAAATGTAGAAAGAATAGCTTTAGCATATGATTTTTTACTTGTGAGATTTTCTTGTTTAGAAAAATGCTGTATGTATGATTATTAAAGAAATTCAAAATTACTTTTATAGGGTGTCCAAAGGTGCGTTTAGCACAGCGCTCTATATGAGACTATTAAAGGAGATATATGCTGATTATAAATATATAATAAAAAATATGAATATATGTATATGATGAGTATGTTGTATTTTGGCGCCATGCCGGGATATAAAATGAATTTTGAGACAAGAGGCGGTTTCGCGGGAAATTTTGGCGGGATTTTTTTCATTTTTTTAATGAATCATAAAGAAAACATCCTCGCTCTTGCAAAAAAATGCAAAGACTGTAAAAAAATCTACGAGACATTGGTAAAATGCTTCGGTATGGATGCTCCTAGCTATTCCACTGTAACGTATCATGTTAGGATGTATCACTTCATGAACAAAAAGGCGCCCATCATAAAAATTGACAAAAAATCGCCGGATCAAAGAAAAATCAAAGCAATTCTTCAAGCGCTAGATGAAGACCCAAGAGCATCACTCAGAAGGATAGAGGAGATGACAAAAATACCACGTACAACAGTCAGTTATTATCTGCACAATTATTTGAACTACAAACTAGCGTATACACGTTGGGTTCCGCACAACCTTAATTCAGTTCAAAAAAAATCTAGAGTCCAATCTTCGAAAGAGCTCCTCTCTATATTGGGTGCGTATCAATCCAAGAAGTTTCGCTTTTTAGTAACAGGGGACGAGTCTTGGTTTCAATATGCAACAGAAGCCAAAATCATGTGGATCCGAAGGATGAAAATCCGCAAACATTCCCGAAGAAAAAAATTGACACACCAATGATGATGTTGTCGGTTTTTTGGGGCGTGAATGGCATCATCGCAATTGATATTCTTCAAAAACCTAATACGATGAATGCTCAGTACTAATTGACAATGTTCTTACTCAATTATCAATTCTGATGAGTTTGAGAAATCCAAACAACAAAAACAAAGTTTGCAATTCATTTTGATAATTCAAGAGTTCACAAAAGTCATAAGGTAATGAATTACTTGGTGGAAAACAATGTCAAAGTTGTTCCAAACCCAATTTATTCACCTGATATTGCACCCTCTGACTTTTATTTATTCGGCACGCTAAAAAAGAGAGCTGAAGGACGCGAATTCGCGAGTCCAGATGATCTTGAAAATTTTGTAAGAGAGCAATTTGAGCAATTTTCTCATGATGATTTAAAGCGTGTCTTTCAAGCCTGGATCGATCGCTGCGAACGCGTGATTGAATCCAATGGTGATTATATTTAAATAAACTTTATATATATGTAACTTGTTTATTTCTATTCGCAGTATTCAGGTTTGTGCTAAACACACCTTTGGACACCCTATATTAAAACATGAAAAGATATCTAACAAAGTCAGATTATATGCTGTTAGTCATTGCTAAAGTTGCGCCTGAAGAAACAACACGTCTGATTGGACGTTTTGGCTTTGGTTTGACTTCTTGAGGCGGACATGGAGGGTAAGGAGATCTTGTTGGAACAGGGAACTCTTCGTAGATGTACTGCTTCGATGCAGCGCATCCGGCCATTCTTAAGTGCATATTTGGAGAAACAGAGGATTCTGTTGTTGCAGAAAGACCGGATTTGGATACACCTAAGCTAGAACCTACTGTGAACTTGTAGAAACAGTTTGTAAAAGTGCAACTTCCGGCAGAATCAAAAATTAATGTACCAGAATCGTAACATTTTATGTCAATTAATCGTACATTTGCCCATACAATTGACTTGGAATTACATTTTATCAGTTTTCCTGTCTTCCAAATGATTGAATTACAAATGTTTGTATTAGAAACAGATCCTTCACTTCCAAAATAGAGGCTATTTTCAGATCCATACAAGCCGTGAATATCGCTCATATAATTAATGGTAAAAGGTACAGTTATGTACAAATCAACACCAGCAAGTTCTGTATTGTATAAATTACCATCTACGGCAAGATCAATAAATGAGATATTACCATTGGAGCTCGTAAATGACTGTCCAGATGTGCATGAAATATCATGAAGACGAGTTGGAGTTTGTATCGTTGAAACATTGAAATTGAAAGTACCAGATGAGGCCGGATTGCAGTTTAGAACTGGATTTTCTGAGACCCTAGAGTTATCTTTCTTAAAGTAGCACTCTCCAACATAGATAGAAATTGCATTTGAGATATCGACTTCTGTATTCTTATCGACAACTCGATAAAATTCTGAATGTGTTATTGAGATCTTTACATTCGCTGAACTCTGGAAGAAACCTGCTAAATTAAAGAAATACGAATCTACAACGTTTATACATTGAGAGCTTGAATCAGTTATTTTGGCTGAGCGTGGGCCACCATAGATAGTGCAAGTTTCACTAGATGTTAAAGCGCTCAGCGAGAAAAGGAGAATCATGTAAAATTTGAGAAAGGGGATTTTGAATTGAATAATTTTGTTTTAATTTACTTATACATACATAGCATGATATTTATCCATATTTCAATAATTTGTATGTCACTTTTCGAACTTTGCGGTAGAACAAAAAATCTTTCATAATTTTTGAATAAAGTTTTTACATTATATTATATAATTTCAATGTGACATTTCAATATTTCCAAAGAAAAGTGACGACTTTGTATGAAGATCAATATCGATACTTAATCGATTTATCTTGATATTTTGTGTAGAATATTATCAGGATATTATATTTGGATCAGAAAAATTGAAAATCTCTATAGTTTTTTTAATTGCTCAAAACTAATGGAAGTGTATATTCCCTCTATGGTGTCACCCTCTATATTTATCGTTGAAATTTTCGGTATTGAATTAGTAAATCTATTGAACTCGTATAGATATTTCAAGAATAATCGATATTGATTATGTATTGTACAGGACATGATGTTGTAGTGGTACAGAAATAATACATTTCTTTAGGGTGTAATCTATTGGATTGAATGGGTGTTAGTTTACTGAAATTAATTTTTGAGATTTGAACTCATGATTTAAATTAAAGGTACATTCACTAAATTATAACAGCAAAATGAGATAATATAATATAAATATCTTTATTATATAAATAAATATTTATTTCCATTTTGAACCGCACATAGGACATGTTTTTTCAGCGCATCTAGCGAACCATTGTTTCAAGCAATGTGCATGAAACTCGTTATGGCATGAAGAGCATTGCATGCTTGGTGCAACACCTCTATCGAAATAAGACAAACAAATAATACATGGTGAATTCTCCAAAACCTGATGAATTACGAAAGAATACCAAGCTCTAATTGCTCCACTAATTGTTTCCAATTTCCTTAGTTCACTAAGTACTTCGTGGTAACATTTATCAGACAAAGTATCATTTCCGAAATCAACTTTAACAGTCACATTTCCGAAAGGATACGAATCAGGCAAAATAATTTCCAAAGAAATAGGAACAGCGTTCTTTTCATCCTGATACAAAGCTTTGATAGAATTATTGCTTTGATTGAATCTATAACTTATTTTTTCCATTCTTGTTTGTACTAATTTCGTTTGCAACTTCTTAAACAATCTAGGAGTTATAACTTTTGCTGCGTAATTAAGAATCTCTTTCTTTATTGTTATTTCTTGTGTATTCAGCCATGAATTACTTGTATTAGGGAATGTTGTAACTAATAACTCAAATTCACTTGATTTATACTCAATTTTTGACAAAATTTTCATCAAATCATGTGACAAACTCAAAGAAAGTTGAGATTTCTTTTCATCAGGCATCAAAACAATCAAATTACTAACAAATATCCATGAAATAGTCAATGACAAATCAAGTTTTCCGTTAATCTTTGATTCAACTAAATCCCAAGCGTTGAAATAAACAAAAAGAGGAGAAATCAATGTCATTAAATGATTTGCATTTTTGTGTGTGAAACAACTAGAAGAATTCAAAATCATTTTCTGGAATTCTTCTTTTCCAATGAGTTTAAATACTTCGAAAGCACCTGAAATTTCCTCTTGAATAATCAAAGGAAAAGGAGCAAATTTAACAGATAATTCAATCATCTGTTTTGCAATCAAATTCAAGTTATTCAATGATTTGCATGCGTCTTTAACAAGGTTCAATATTTTGCAGACTAAAAAATAAGTAAAATGATTTGCTTTCCTCAATGATCTTTCTAAATAAGGAATTAAAGGTTCAAATGTTGACAAAACAGGTAAATTTTGTTTCAAATAAACAACACATCTTCTTAATGAATGGTAATCAGGGTTTTCTATTTTCAAGTCAGATGTTTGGACTCTTATTTGATGCCATTCTATTTGGTGATCAATTATATCAGGATCTTCGGAAACAATTTTTCTTGGAGGACATCTCATCGACGCTATAATTGAAATTGCATCAGAATTCGCGTCGCATTTGATAGATGTTGCTGCTGATATGCAGCTCAATGCGTATAGCAATTCCATTTCATGAGCAACGTCGTACATCAAAGGATTATTCATTATAAAGTTCTGCAAAGTTGAAGGAACAGACATCCAATTTACTGTCCTCAAATAAATGAAACAATCAATCCATGGCATCTTTTTAAGAATAATCGAGTCTAATAATAAACAAACATCATGCAAATCAAACTTATCAAACCCACAAAAACTCCATAACTCACAATAAAATTCTGGATATTTTGTCACTTTTTGACCAAAACTTTTTGGTTTCACTTCACCTTTTTCAATTAAATCGAATGCTCTTTCAGCCAAATCTATTGGATCATGTGTTGCCAAGTGGTCATTGATGTATTTAACACATTGTTCTAGCAATGGATGATCAGGTGTTATCGATTCTATTTGATCAGATAAAATAAATTGTTCAATCATTTCATCTGATGTTTGAATGTGGTTAAAAACGGATTTGTCGACTGCTTTTCCACTTTCTAGGGCTTCTGTTGCCATCTCTTGGATGTATTCTTTAACTTCTTCATCGTTTTCGAAGATATTTAGGATTTTTTGGGATAATGAAAAATCTTCTTCCAAAATTTCGAAAATTTTTTCCTTAATTTCGGGAATTCTTAATATTTCAAGAGGCTTCTGCCAATTCTTAATGATCTTTATTAAGTTTGGAGTACTTTTTGCATATGATTTCACGTCATCTTGATTTGCAAACTTAACAAAGAATTTTAAGAAGCTCTCGTCATTGAAATCAGGTTTTGTGTCTCCTGCTTGCGATGAACTGTCGTTTGTTTCTGATTTTTCGACGGTTTTGTGGATAATATCACTTTCATTTTCTTCTTCTTCCTGATTTCGAAGTAAAAGTATGTCTGCTTCATCATCTGAGTCTTCATCATCATCGAAATTGGTCTGATTGCGTCTGCGCCACTTCTCTCCCCAACTTTCTTTCTTCTTTTTAGGAACAATTGAAACATTTGTCACTTTTTGGGGGTTTTTCTTATTTTTCTTTTTCTTTTGTCTTTTCACGATGAAATCGTCCATTGATTCATCTTCGTTATCATTTGCCTGACTCATTATCCTCAAAATTTCATTCTCTGTGATGATCGGAATATCGTTGATCGTCTTGTAAACTTCTCTAATTGAATTTTCTCCGAAATTGTTGATGAAGGTCAAAAGTGAGCGTGTTGTTATGGTTTTGCGCCTTCGGAGCCACTCAATGGATCTCTCCTTACCAATATACTTAAGGAAATATGGAATTCGCTGGTCATTTGACTCAAAAAGAGGCTCATTTATCCTGTCATCTTCCGAAATTACGGAAAATTTGGCTAACGAACACGTGGTTAAGAAGGAATTGTTGGTGGATGAGATGGCTGTAATGAATGCTTCAACAAGAAGGTCTTTCATCTCTGGAATATTCGTTCTCGTGAAAATGTCAAAATAACTCTCGGATAATACAAAAATTTTGAGCTGTAAGGCGGGGGTTACGAACTTTGAGAGGAAATCGTTCTCTTTTACCTGTAAAATTAAGTCCATCATTCCGATTTTTTCTGGAAATTCGTAATTGAGTAGGCTGGATAAAATAGCTTCTTGTAGTTTTGTGTGATCGACTTTGTTTTGGTTCAATAACTCTGAAATAAGTTTGATTAATTCGATTTGACAATCAACATTTGTTTCTGTCTTGTAAATATCAATTACATTGATAGTAGGTGTATCAAAGTTTAATAATAATGATGTTGTTAAGAACTGGTAAATGCTTGAACGTAAAAATGGAGTGATTGATTTATTAAATTGTCCATGGCCGACCTTGGTGTATTCTGATAGATTTGTTGCTTCGAATATTTCACGAATTTGTGGATTTTCTGGGAAATAATCTGTTAGATAGCAACATAATTTCAAATTTGAGCCGAAAATCCTTGGCCAAATTTCATTTGATATCTCTCCTTTGATCTGTAATCTTCCGAAATATAGCTGTATCTTATCTAATATATCAGTTAATAGCCTCTCGATGATATCTTGTCTCTTTCTCGAACTAGAAAAGTATTGATTGAACAATTTTTGAGCCTCTGAAGATACATTCTGTCTTTCATCGCAAATATAAAACATATTTAATGTGAATATTCTTGAAGCGAAAGATACGATTTGTTTTGATAAAGCTTTGCATAATTCCGACATCATTTGTACAGAATTTAATCTAATTATTGGTGATTCTGATTCAAACAGTGTTTCGTAAAGATTAATGAAGACATCTGCCGATTTCGAAATATTCTTTGATTCTTTTATATAAGAAATTGTATCATCTATTGCTTGTTCTTGACTTTCGGATTTCTTTTTTCGGAATCTATTGATCAAGGCTCGTAAGTCTTGGTCAGTGACGCCGTCAAGAAGATTGTTCGACAAAATTTTGATTCATCAACAAAAGCAGAAATAAACCAATAAAAAATTGAGGATTAAATAAGGATTAGAAATGCCTTCACCAAATGGCGAATTGTTCATGAATAACAAAATCAAGAATGATTTTTTTTTCAAATCAGAAGTGTGAGTTATTGTTGTAAATGTGTTTGTAAAAAAACTAAGTAATTATCCGAAAATACTAAAAAATTGTTTATAAATTAATTTATACAGTTTCAGGATCGACATGAACATCAAAAGCCACGTCATCATCATCAGCTTCAAGTTCGCTGATACTATCTTCTGAATCAAACATTCCGTTTGTGTATAGAGGGTTGGCCATTGTGTTTCCTTCAACTACTGCAGAACTGATTACTGTTTCCTCTGAGAATTCGTCTCCTGGAGGAGTTTCATCTTCTTTAACATCGTTTCCTTTGTTCCTCTTTAGAAGAACTATAATAACTACTATGATTACAATTAATGCTATAAGGCCGACAACTGCTCCAATTATACCATATAGCATGGCTTAGCTCTTCTGGGCATTCCTGTCATTGATTCCATCAGGATTTTCATTCTTTGCTAAGATTGGTGTTTCCATTGGGGAATTGATTGGTGTTTCGTGAGGTGTTGGAGGAATTACAGATTTGGCTGGAGTGAGATGTGGAGTGTTGAATGCGGTCTCAAAGGCTGTCTCGTGTTCAGTAAGGTATGGAGTCTCAAATGCTGTCTCACCTTGTGTCATAGACATAGTCATGTATGCTGTCTCGAATGGTGTTGATGATTGTGTCGATGATGCTGTCTCGAATGGTGTCGAGTGTGGTGTGTCGAATGCTGTCAAATATGGTGATTCGAATGCTGTTTCGAAAGGAGTCTCGACTGATGTACTGAAAGGAGTTCCGAATGCGGTCTCGAATGGTGTCGATGAGGCGGTCTCGAATGGTGTGACAAACGCTGTCTCGAATGGAGTGCCGTGTGCTGATGCGAGAGGAGTGAGATGTGGTGTCTCGAATGCTGTATCGAATGGTGTAGAGAACTCTGTGATGAATGGTGTTTCGAATGCTGTATCGAATGGAGTCATGAATTCTGTGATGAACGGAGTCTCGAATGCGGTCTCGAAAGCTGTAGAGAAAGGTGTTTCGAATGCTGTTTCAAATGCTGTAGAGAATGGAGATTCGTATGGTGTTTCGAAAGCTGAACTTGCAGGAGTCTCGGCATATGTTTCGTATGCAGTCTCGAATGGTGTGCATGCGAATGTAGGATCCTTTGAAATATCTGGAGTGAGGAATGGTGTTTCATATGCTGTCTCAAACGCGGTTCCTTCGATTGTTTGATACATAGTTTCGAATGGTGTCTCTTGTTCTGTCATAGCTTCCGTGAGATATGGTGTCTCATATGGTGTTTCGAATGCAGTCGAATCTTCTGTTTGATATGGTGTTTCTTGTTCTGTCATAACTTCAGTGAGATATGGTGTTTCATATGGAGTCTCTTGCTTTGTCATTGCTTCTGTGAGATATGGTGTCTCGTAAGGTGTCAACATCTCTGTGAGATATGGTGTTTCATATGGAGTTGAAACTTCAGTAATGAATGGAGTCTCGAAAACTGTTTCAAATGGTGTCAACATCTCTGTGAGATATGGAGACTCATATGGTGTTTCAAATGCCGTTTCGAATGGAGTACTGAATGCTGTTTCAAATGGTGTAACATGGGCTGTGCTGTGTGGAGTATCAAATGCTGTTTCGAACGGAGTACCATGTGCTGAACTGAATGGTGTATCGTGTGGTGTCGAATGAGCTGTGCTGTGTGGTGTCGAGTGTGCTGTTGAATGAGTGGTGCTGAAAGGTGTTTCGAAAACTGTGTTGAAAGGAGTAACATGTGCTGAACTGAATGGTGTATCATGTGGTGTTGAATGAGCTGTACTGTGTGGTGTATCAACAGGAGTGAGTTCTGCTGTCTTGAATGGTGTTTCGTATGCTGTTTCGAATGCTGTCTTGAAAGGTGTTTGATATGCTGTTGATTCTTTATATGGATTTATAGGTATACAATCATATGTGTGATAGAATAAGAAAGGATCATATCTTGCAGGACTAAGCTTAATTGGTTCATCAACTACATTTCCTTGAATAGGTCTTGTCTTGTCTTCAGTATAAAAAACGTTTTCTATTATAGAATTTCCGCGTGAATTAAGAATATTAGATTCATATGTGTTGCCAGAAAAAATAATGTTATCAAATCTAACTTCAACATTATCATGAACATAAAGCACACCGTACCAATGGGCTGTATTTTTAATAAAATTTGAGTGACTAACAATAATTGGGTTTGGTACATTATAAAAGCTTATAAGTGGTGTCTGTGACGAACAGCCTTCCATATTCCACCATCGCATTAATAATTCATTATGATCTCTAAATTGAAGAATGCCGACATTATCAAGTCCTGGGTCAGTCGAACCTGGATATGTTAAAGAGGAAGCATTGATATTAGTCAATGATACACTCTTTGGTGTAATCATTGTCATTTGTTTTTTGGTATCACTACTAGAGTGAATTGAAGTATATTCAATGTTGATAGGAGTATAGAGAAAGAAATGCCAGATGTTGCTTTCAGATGTAGCTCTGCAATTAGATATGCAAACAAATCTCCAATTTATATAATGTGAGTTTGGTGATCCTCTATCAATGTTGACAGTACCACCAGATTTTCCTGTGCAACTATTAAACAAGCATTCGGTCAGTCTGAAAGTTATATCCGCTGTTTTAGTCCATAAGAAAATTGGAGCACGATCATTGGTAGTTATCTCCTTGAATTGGCAACGTTTAAAATAAAAACTTTCAGTTAATGCACTTCCATAGTAAACCCTACTTGTATAAGTGCGATCTTCGAATCTTTGCTCTTGTGTGGTGAGATATAATAGTAAAATGAACATATTTTTTAAAAAAAAATTGAAATTTTTTACTTCAATATTTCGTTAAACGAAAATTGAGTGTGTGATTAAAAGTTGCCATCAATAAGAATGACATTTATGAATAGGAATTAAATTGAATTTCCTCAATTTTTGATAGCGGAAGAAAATTGAGGGGAAAAAATATATAATTTCATACACATCTATAATGAAATAACTTTTTGCTCAGAATTGAGAAAATGATTCAAAAAAACAGAAATGCAATGATTTTTAATGCATTCTGTTTTACATATAGTAACTGTTGGAAATTTCATGTTTATTATACACATTTAATCATATGCCAAAAAAGTGACAAAACTCTCAAATAATTGAATCTGGCAAAAATTCAATCAATGGATTTGCAGAATGTGAAAATTTTTAAAAAGCATTTGTTATTCATTTCTCGTTCATATGCTATAAGAGTTCTTGTATTTTGCTCATTTTGCAAGAAATGTCAACCCTATGCCATTTTTTAAATTGAGATCTTTTAATTGAAATGACGGGCAAGAGGACCATACAAAACAAAAAATGATAGCACACAACCAGAACAGGAGAATTTCTATCATGATTTCCTATTGTTCTATATAAGTTTCCTTTATGACCTTGAAGATTCGATGCCGCATTTTTTACAAGAATTGGATGGAACTCTAAGATTGACATTTCTTTATTGATTTGGAGTTTGTAAATCATAATCTTCATTTAATCGCTTAGATCTTTTACGATTAAAAATTTAAACAAAAAATTAAATTAAATTTCTTTTTATCTAATGTAATAACACAAGTTGTATCATATATATTATTTTTGCATGACTTATGAAAGTTTACTTTTTATGTTTTAATTCCAAATATTCTTAATTAGGTATATAAGAAAATTTATTTTGGTAAATAAAATAACCTTTTATTATTATACAGATTGATTGATATGTCTTTGAGATATTCCTTTTATGAAATGCTAAAAAATGATATGAAGAATGAAAAAAGAAAAAAAAATCAAATTAAAAAAAGTATTAAAACATAACATTACTTTTTCATGGCGTTCTCGCGATTTTGAAAAAACATTGGAGTTTGAAAACTCTTCAATAATGCGTGGAACTGATGTATTAACAAAATTCATGATTTCTACCGATTGAATGACGCTTCATAATGATAATTTTTCACTAATTGTCACACAGAATCGAAAACTTATCAAGATGATATTTTGGTAAAGAATAATCTGTAGAATTAATCTGCTAACTTACAATTTACGCATGATATAATGAATTTATACATTTAATGCAGCATTAAATTTCTTAAAAACATCATTCCTGAAGCTAATTTATCAAAGCTAACGCTATGCTATATACAAAATAAATAAGTTTCTAGGAATAGTAACGTTATTTGCTTTATCTGCCTGATAATATTTCTAAAGTTGCCAAATATCAGTGTAAAGTGAACCTTTAAATTTAGTTAAGGAAGTCAATTTGGAAAATTGTTTTCACTTTAGGAGAATATAATTTTCCATTTGGAAAATTTAAAAAGTGAGACGCGCAGGATTCGAACTTTTTTAAAAAGTTGATTTAAATGAATTTTAGTGTGGAATATAAGGATAATATCATATTTAAAATAAGAATATACTAGTTTAGGTGGTATTAATTTTTTCGATAAATTTGAGAGTATGTACGTTTAGGGCATGAAAAGTGTCAATTCGCTCAGCGAAAGCTGAGCTAGCTTCGTTCTCGAAAAAATAAGGAAGGAGTGAAGGAGAATGATACAGAAGTTGACACATTCATATCATTTCAACAAATTTTGATCAAATTGAAATTCAATAAAATTCAATTCAATTCATATCCTTCAGTCAGTACATTGATATCCTTCTGCATCACAATGATAACTCGGGCATCAATAGTTCTACAACTAACTCAGAAAAAACAAGATTATTACTTCCTGCTTACAGCTTTTAAAAAGTTTCGATGATAAAAATCACTCTACTCTCGTTTATCGACATATGGTGATAGTAGGTAAACATATTCTTATCGATATTAATAAAAATATTTGTACGAAAATCTTATCCAATTAGAGAGTTATTCATAAAGTATATGATAATTATAATTACTTTATCTTTGTTTTATCTTTGAATAAACAATTTAATTTAAATTGCATAATATTTTTTGGTTGAAAGACAGGAAACTTAGTTGAGTTTGTATTATTTTTATCGTTTAATTCATCGTATCAGTGAGTGATCCAGATATTTAAGATATTTAGAAAAAAAATTATTAATTTGATTAACAAATTTTAATCAAAATAGCAAAAATCTATTTGATAGCTGTAAACAAACAATAATTTTTATTTCAAGCAAAATCACTTATTTTCATCTAAACGTATAAAATTGTCAATTTTATGAAAATAAATTGAAAATCTCATGAAATGTAAAGGAGAGTAATATTTTTCAATTTTCTTTTTTTCTTTGTCTCAAATATTTTCTGTTGGGAATTTTCTTGTTATCAAAAAATAATTTTAATATTTGTTTATTTCATTACATACAATAAAATTTTAAAAACTCTATTTCTTCTCAAGAAAATTTTTTCCTTCATATGAAGAAACATTTTGTTCTCCATTTGATACTGAGTCTAAATCTCGATTTTTGAATTTTCTTCTTTCCAAATTTCTTTTTTCCAAATTAGAAGTTTAATTCAAATTTTCAATAGTTTATATATTTTCTCAAACCGTCTCAGATTTTCTCACTTTTTAGGAATTTTCTCTCAAAATATACAAAAATAGTAATATCAATACATGTGTCTAATATACTTTAAAACCATCGTGACAAAATTCAAAAACGAAGAGTTCTTCTCTCCAAATTTTTTTCAAAATCAAAAAAATGAGATAAAAAAGTACGTTTGGAAAATTCATTTTTAGCATTTTAGGAATTTTCTCACTTTTCTTCCAAATTGACATCCTTAATTTAGTTTAAAAATGATTATTCAAATCTCATCAATAACGTTTATACCAATATTTAAATTTTCTTTATTTAAGATATTAATAATAAGAACAACTTGTTGAAATTCCAACGTAGTATGTATGTATATATATATTTGAGTTAAGTAAGATGATAGTTTATTCTATTTAAATTAAAATTTTGTTCAAGCTAAGATCTTCTCAGCAGCACGCTTAATTGCAGCAGCAGCGCTCTTGATTTCCTCTTCTGAGTGAATTGGAGAAACGTATAATTTGATTGTTGGTCTTTCCTTGTTTGAATCACGGTTGAGTACAAATTTGGACTTAACAACAAATGTTGGTGCTGTTTCATCATTGAGAGCTGCATCGCATACCTTTTGTAAGGCAATGTTAGCTTCTTTAAGAGAAAGTTCTTTTCCGAGCTTGAGATGGACAATTGGTGATATTGGATCTGAAATAACCTCAAGGCCCTTGATGTCGGAAAGTTCCTGGTACATTAGAGCTGTATTGTTACGAAGTTTAGCAATGCGTTCAGCGCCATCTTTTTCAACAATCTCTACAGCACGGCGAGCGCAGATGACAACGTATGGTGGAGGCGAAGCTGAAAAGATGTAAGCATGAGATGATAATCTTTGATGAGCGCAAAGTTCTTTTGTAGAAATGGTGAAGCCACCAAGAGAAGCAAGAGCTGTTCCATAAGAACCGATTGAAATCTCAATTTCAGAACGGTCGATATCAAAATGCTCGCAAGCACCACGTCCTGTCTTTCCGAGTGCGCCGAAAGAGTTTGTTTCATCGAGAATAATGCGGAGGCAGAATTCATGGCGAAGCTTGATGATGGAAAGAAGATCAACGATTGTGCCATCGTTTGTAGAAATGCCTTCAGCGACAACCCAACGATTGCACTTTTCCCAACGTTCGAAGGAGTTCTTTGTCTTTATGATCTTATCACGGAGATCTCCCATATCATTGTGCTTGAAAACAACGACTTTGCCACGGGTTAAATCCGCACCAACTTTAATGGCAAACCAGCAGTATTCATCAATGAAAACAACATCAGTGTTATGAGCAAAGGCCTGAATAACAGATGTGGTTGTGGCGAATGGGAAGCAGTAGTTTACTGAGTCTTCAACACCTGTCCAGCGGGCAATAGCTTCTTCTACATCAAGGTGTGCATCCATTGTACCGTAAAACTGGCGTGGACCGCATGAGCCAACAGCATAATGGTCAATAGCGTTCTGTGCGGCTTCAAGAAGCTGTTTATCATTGTTCAATCCAAAAAAGTTTGGAACGGCAAAGTTAAGTGCTTCTTTTCCTTCAACTGTAATCTTATCGGTAGGAGCGCTGGAAACAACCTTTGTTTCTAGCACTGAAGTATCATAGTCATCTGGAAGTTCTGGAACTATTGGCTTAGGAGTCCAAGCAGTAATAATTGCATCTTCTTCTGCTGGTGTAAGTTGTTCATCATTTTTGATAACTTCACGTGGTTTCTTTGTAAGTAATATGAAGAATGCAACAATAAGAGCAACCTCAAAAATCAAGTGTTTTGGTGTAGATGCCCAAATACTTGCTAAAAAGCCCTCAACGAAAGCGACTACCAATTTGGGATTTGATTTTTTTTACGATCGGGATTAATTCAAATATAATCATATTCGAGAATGAAAAATAATAATAAATAGCTATGTTCAATCAATTTCTTAAAAATCAAATGGCCAGATATTGAATCAAAAAAATTTTTGAAAGGCATTTTGAAAGTTATCGGCCTTTTCAAAAATTTGGATAATTAAATTCATTTATTGCATACAAAATGTTAATATAATAGAAATAATCCGATTTATATTATCCAATTCACCTTCAAAAAGTTTGAAAAGCGGTTATTATTGGATCCAAATTATAAAAGTTAATCCAAATTGATGGTATAATTTTTTTTGAGATGAGTTCAATTTGGAGCTATCGGCCTCATATGGTTCTCCTAGTCAATTTTAGATACTTCCGTATAGTCAATGTTTTATCAAATAGAGTTTGAGTTCATAAATCTTACGATTTGATAAAATACTTTCATTTACGAGAACAAAATAAGGTATTTATGACTCTTTGATTATTGCTGAACATCATTTAAATTAATGAAGGTGAGATCCTTCAGGCAAATGTTATTTTCCGTTTAAAATATTGTTGGGGCATTTTCTTAGGAGAGGGTAAATTTGAATACCATTCAAAAGTAAAAATTCACAATTTGTTCGATTTGGACATATAATCTATTATTATATATAATGTAATTATGAAAAAAATAAAATGACCCGCATATATTAATTACCCTCTATTTCCAGGTATTACCGTTTAAGGTTATTTTTTGTATAGAAAAAATGCAATTTTAGGATGATTGAAGTATTATTATAAAAAAATAACAATAAAATATTAATTTATACAAGAGTATTATATATCCCTTACATTTTTGAGGCAAATGGAGAATCCTAATTTTTTAACGTTGTTAGTTTTGACGCTCATTTCATACAAAATAAAAAAATAAAATAATAAACATAACTAAGTTTTAATTTTTCGTAAGAAGTTTATTTCTAATTTCTTTTACTCGTTTATGAGGTCTTTGATTATGACTCCATTGATTCCATTCAGGATTTAAACAATGTTTAATTAATCGCGGAATATCTGACATCATCTATATATAGCTTCTTTTATAAAAGATAAAAAAATAAATTATTTTAAAATTAATGTTAATTTTTTAATGATTTATAAATAAATATATTTTAATGCATCGTCTATATATAGATGTAACAAAAAAAGTCACACAACCCTTCAGATCCTACTACTTTGTACTAATCTGAATAATAAATACTATCAAGATTATTGAAGGTTTCATCAAATGCGAATGGATTTATCAGATCTGGTTGATCAAAATCATCAATCAACTTTGCTTGGTTATTCTTATTTCGATTTGTAATAACTTTATATCTATTTTTAATTTGAATATCATTCCTTCCTTCAAAAAATTTAGAAATTTCGCGCCATTTTGGATACGTTTTTGTTACTAATTCCATTAATAAATCATCTTCTTGTTTAGACCAGGGATTATGATTAACTGTTGGTGATAAATACCTAAACCACCTATCACGACACTGCCTTTTATTCCTTCCGGGCATTTTTGAGGCAATTTTTTTCCAATTATTTTCACCATATTGTCTAACTAGCTCTTTTAGCTTATTGTCATCTCTTTCACTGAATCTGTTGTAAACACTTGTCATTCACTCTACAAATGTAAAATGAGCAAAAATTTTAGCAGTTCGTGATTCAATAGGGGTCGACCAATTTGACACTTTCAAAAAATTGTTAAGTCATCACAAAAATTGAATATACATATTTTCAAGAAAAATTTCCATTATATCATTATTTTTATTCAAAATATATTTATGGAAAGATTACACTTAGTTATGCGAATTCTACTCTCAAACTTATGTAAACTTCCCAAAATTGTCAAAAAAAATTAGAATTTGAGATAGACTTTTCCCTAATATTTCAGTTCTCCTTTGAATTCTTGTATTGGACAGAATGCATAATCGCTAAGTTTTTTAACTCTATTATCTTGTTCCTATTCATTTCTCCAAAGTTTTACTAAAATAATCTTCTCATTGCTGGAACAATCAATTTGAGAACATTCTTTCTATAAAGTCTAGTTTTAATATACATGCAAATATTAAATATTCAGATTTTATCAACCATCTCATGATTTTTATTTATTTTACCTCTTTTTATGATATCTGACAAAAAAAAGCCAACTACAAACATCCAAGCCCACTACCATGCTTGGCATTAAATTTGGTAACTCTACTATAGTTGTACACCACATTGCAGATACTCGCAGAGAAAGGAATGCTATTGAACCTCTTAGTTTTCAGGGAAAAGAAATTCTCCCTTCCTACGTAATGATTCAAGAAGGAGGCTCAGTAGCATGTGGAGCTGACGCTAAAAATCAGATGTATAAATATCCAGAAAGAGTAATTTTCGGAGTTAAACATTTGATCGGTCATAAATATCAAGATCATTCAGTTCAGGAACTTTTGGAGAATGTTGATTTCGAAATTCAACCCGATGAAGATGATAATCCATTAATCGTAGTTGACGGCAAGAAATACATGCCAGAAGAAATTCTTTGTTTCTTGTTAGAACATGTAAAGGATACATACAAGAGCGCTACATGGCGAGAAGCTACAGACTGCGTCATTACAATTCCTGCTTACTTCAACGATGCACAAAGAAAAGCTACCAAAGCAGCTGCAAGAATGGCCAACTTAAATGTCCGCAAGTTCCTCAGCGAACCAACAGCTGCCGCCATTGCCTACTACAACATCGAACCAAAGGATAAAATCCATTTGTTAGTTTTCGACTTTGGTGCTAGTACACTCGATGTTTCCATCGTTTACATTGATGGCCAGGTATTCAATGTCAAGGCTGTCGCTGGTAACTCAAACTTAGGTGGCGCAGATATAGATAAAATCATCGCTGATTATTGCAGTCTGACTTTAATCCAAAGGATCCGAACAACAAGAAAAAGATGGCAATTCTTCTTAAATCAGCAGAAGAAGCAAAGATAGCACTTAGCTCAATGGATAACTCACAGATTACTGTTCCAAACTTTTACAATGGCCAAGATCTTAGTGCCAAGCTTAGAGTTAATAAGCTCAGCGACTTGATTGAGCCAATTCTTGACCAAATTCCAACTCCGATTCATTCTGCCCTCAAAGCAGCTGGTCTCAAACCAGCCAACATCGATGGTGTATTGCTTGTCGGTGGGTCCAGCATGATCCCAGCTGTTAAGGATAAACTTGAAGAAATCTTCCCAGAAAAGATCAAGTACGCCTTAAATCCATTGAAGGCTGTATCTGCTGGTGCAGCCACAATTTGCCAGAAGTTCATGAATGATCAAATCAAAGACTTCGAAGATGTCAAAGAATATGTTCGCCAAAGAACTGTTTCACCACCAATGTTCAAACCAGAAACAATCGCTGTCGTTGATGTCCAGCCAATTAGCATTGGTATCAAGACAGCAAACGACGGATTCCACAAATGCATCATCTCCAACAAGCCAATCCCACAGAAAGCATAAATTGACTTCAAGATCAAAGAGAGATCTATTCTCACCTTTAGCTTCTACCAAGGCGAAAGCACCAAGTGCTCAGAAAACATTTTGCTCAAAGATGTCACTTTCAGGAACATTCCAAAGAATTCTACACAAATTCTTCTTACTATCGAAATTAACAAAGAAAGTATCATCACTGTCAAAGTTACTGATCCTGAAACAAAATATGCCCAGGCAATCGACTTCCACTACGATCCCAGGCTCAATGATGAAAGGGTTCAGAAGATTATTAGAAGCCATAAGGTTGAATCTGTTGATGTATCCACAGATTGTCAGATGTTTTTCAACGAACGCGATTTTTATCCACAAATAGTTGATTCATCAGATACAATTGTTGTCATTGATGATAACCAACCAAAAGGCAGATCCCAGAAATACCCCAAACATCTCAAATTATAATATATATAACTACTCTGTTATATAATGATTTTTTTATCCATTCCTTGATGTATAAACAAAATGTTATTAGTTTCTATCTCATTTGGTATTGTTTTTTCTTTGAAAATCGGTAAAACGAATTCCTGAATTTATTAATTATTATCAAAACTATGTCATTTTTTGGAATTAGATTTAGAAATCCAATACATAGTTAATTCCGATTCTTTAAGCATATATGATAACAAAAAATTTCATAGATGTAAAAAGTGACAAAAATGAAAAATATTTCTCTTTTTACTCTAACTCTTTCTCGGAACTTTGAAAGTCCGATTTTCAGTGGCAAGCAGAATATGAAAATTGCAAAATCATATTTTTCAAATTCATTTTCACACGCTTTTTATCAAATTTCAAATCTCAACGCAAAATCAACGATATTCAAGCATTTTCTCTCAACACCAATCAAAACACAACGAGATCCTATATCAAAAACATTTAATTCACAACAAGACTTCAGCCAAAAAACTGAAGAAATTCTTTTAGCTGATTGCATCTTTTATGACATCAAAGTTGATATGTCTGGTGTCGCTATTTACATTAGCAACTCAGATATTAGTTTATTTGTTTCTACAACTTCATTTTCAAATTGCAGGACCACAGATTCAAATACTAATGGTATAGTTTATACTGAATGCCAATCTGTGATAATAGACGCATCTTGCACGCGCTCTTGTTTTACAGCTGGAAAAGGAAGCTTTTTATATTCGAGATTCAACAATGAAAAAGGCAATGTTTCTATTACAGAAGCTTCCACCTTCTGGGATGAATCAAGTTCTTCATCTTACTACATATTTAATGCTGATTATTTGGATGTTACAAAAATAAATTCAACTTCTTGTAAAACAGTCGACAATTCACTAATATACGCTGAAGATACAACCAAAGTAAACTTCAACCAATCATATATTTTCAACCAAAATTGCAATTCTGTGTTGAATTCCAATAAAAATACAGTATTTTCACTGAAAACTGTTGCTTTCAATACAATCAAGTCACCTGTTATTGCTGATGGTTGTGCAGCGTTCACTTTCACACGTTGCGCCTTCTTTAAAGTTTTTTCGAACATTTCAAATATTTTGGAACCGAAAACTATAGTTGAAAAGTGTTATATTGACTTGAATATCAAAGCAGGAGCTGCACAAATTGATTTCCCGAGCGCTCTAAACAAGGCAACCGTTTTTGGCGACGAATACATCGAAATAGGAGTTTGTTACACCGGGCCAACACCAATCAGAACACCACAGAAGACAGTACCAGTCAGAACAATGCCAAACATCGAACCAGAACCACAAATTGTCGCAAAACCAGCTGTAAGAACCGGAATTATCTCTGTTGGGCTCGTTATTCCACTTGTAATGATAATCGCTGTTGTAATTGCACTCGTGATATTCAGAGCTCGCAATACAATCGACGTAGTTATCAGAAATAATTTTCAATAAACTGTAATTTTTGTATTTAACTGATTTAATTTTTATTTTTCATATAACAAGCATATAACTGGCCTTTTCATCATTAATACACTCTTAATAAAGATGCTTTATACAAAGATATTTTGAGATGATAATTCTAGCCTTCTAATTTAGGATATACTTAGTTTGAAAGCCTTCTAATTTGATTGATATAACATATATAATCTGAAAATTTGCTGAACTGATTTTAATTTTATGAATATCACCTATTCTAACAATCAGATAATAAATTGGTTTGATGATATTAAAAATGTTATGCTCACCAATACACTTTTGGTCTTATCTCATCCAACATTTCACAAAGATTATAATCAAAGTTTTTGAGAAAAAAAATGATAAAAAGAAATAGTAAATTCTTAAATTCAACATAAATTTGTAACAATATTTATTATCTATCAATGCTTAAGGAACTGGTCTCCATTCATGTAATATTTTATTAAGTCTACCGCATTCAGATGATCCTTCTAACAGTCCTGATGGGTTTGTAGGAGGAGTAATGCCTTTACGTCTAAGTAAACCATTACCAGTAATATGAGGCGCTTGTTTTGGAAATAGGACTTCATCTTGTAGGAAATCTATTAGAGGAGTTCCTTTTGTAGTGGTCATTTTCTTTGGTTTTGGTCTTGGCCCAGCTAATTTTGTAAAATCGTCGTCTGTTAATGATTTGAATTCAGGTTTTTCTTTAGGAGCTGACTTGTTGTCAAGCATTAAGTTTAATCTGCGTGCTTCTTGTGGAGATTCATGATGTTTTAATAGTTGAAATTGATATTTTGGTTGTTGATTATCTTCGCTTTGGTCTTTACTTCCTTCATCGCCTGTTTCTGATGTTTCCTCTTTCTTATCTTCTGTTTCTGGTTCCTGAGGCATATTAAACTTCTCTGGATATTTCGAAACTTTTTGGGCGTCGATTTCGATATTTGCTTGAGATCCACTGTATTTAATTACGAGAAGATGTGGTGTACTTACTTCAACAACTTCGGCTTCATAAAACATTGTTGACCATTCATTGTCTGTAGCATCATACCAGAGAGCAATAATTTGTTCACCTGGTTTGTATGTTTCATTAGGTTGTGGGAATGGTATAACACTGTTTTGATCAACAACGTATCTCAAAAAATTTTGGCTTTCGCAATAATCATCACGAACGATGCATTTATTGTTTGGTTGTTTCTTTTCGAATTTGCATACAATCCATGAATAGCTTTTTCCTGCATAAAGAACAAAAGCAGCGCAAGTTTGTCCGTTCTTAATCTTCATTTTGTCACTTTTATTCAATTTCTGGCTGATAGAAGCAAAATGAAACCAATATTTATATGATAAAAATAATTTAATACAGTCAACAAATCTAATTTTATTTCCAAATCTATGATATTCTTTTTTTGAGAAATTTAGACCCCCCTAAATTTATATATTTACTGACCCTGCATATCTAAAGATGGAAATCGGGGTACTCCCGATTGGGTGGCCAACAGAGATTTCAGATGCTACTGTGCTCGAACGATTTCTACCTTCGAATGCTGTAGCAGTAGGATCAAGTAATCTCCTTCAAATTTATACATTTTCGAATAATCAACTTTATTTACACTCAAAAATGGTGTTATATGGAGACATTTCTAACATCATCGAAATATATGACAACGGGAAAAACAAATCTAATCTATTAGTTATCCGTTCAGACGGTCGTTACAGCGTTATTAGTTATCAACGTGATTTCGTCACACTTCAAACGGGAAGTATTATCGGAACACAAGGAGTTCCATGTGACTCACCATATAAAATTTATAAAAGTGGTTATCAGCTCGTTATTCAAGTTACTTCAACAGCAATTCAATATTATGAAATTACACCAAGCTGTTTCTTATCTTCTCCTATTCCATTAGCCATTCCATGTGTCAAATTAATCGATTTCGTTGTTGTAAATATTAATTCTTCTACAACAAAAGTCGCAGTTTTATTTGAAGATACAAAGATGCAAAGGTATGTCAATATATACGTTCTTGATCGTAAGATTAACAGATTCGACGAAGTTGAATCGAATACAACAGAAAATGACGCTTATCGATTAATTGCGATTTCAGCTCAGAACATTGTTGTTGTTACTACAGACAAAATGATCAGGATGAAGGTTTCTTCACCTGATACAGAGTCATCTACAATATATACTTCTCATTCTCTTAAAAGAATTTCGATGTTATCAGAAAATACGGCTGTTGCAGTTGATGAAGGCTGCAATGTATACTACTTAAGCTTATCACCTTCAGGTAAGCAATCTCTCACGCGTGTTTGCAGCGTAAACAGACCTTTAGTTCTCTCAGTTTTAGATGAAACAACAGTTTTCTCATTTTCAAAGTCAGGACCATCGCACGTTATACATTTGGTAAATTCAAACAAACCGTACGCCGTGGCCGAAGAAATTTTGTTTTCTCAAGAATCTTCAAGAATTTTGCTCCAAATGGACACGAAACGCGGTGATTTCGTTAGTTTCGCACCGGATGGAACTCTATCAATCATAAGGAAGACTGTAGGTGTTAGAACTGAAGCAGAAGTCGAAATTCACGGAATTCAGAAATCTTGGCTTCTCGATCAGCAAACAGCGGTCATATCCTTCATAGACCGCACACGTGCGTTAAAGTATACAGGAGGAGAGATTTCTATCGCAAATGTCAAAGGATTAATAACAGATGAATCAACTTTAGCTTTTTCAAGGTCAAATGGCGGCTACGTTCAAGTTACACAGAATGGTATTAGTTTTAATGGTAAAATAACTAAATGTGTCCATAAAAACATCTGCGCATTTGCATCTTCTGAAATTACAGCAGTTTGCAACATCCAAGGCACAATTGTCCTTTACCATTCGGATAGCGGTAAGAAATATCATACGCACCAGCTGAATTCAGTACCAAATATTATTGCCGCAAATAATAATTTTATTTCTGTTGTATTTTGGCCAAGTTCTACACTAATGAGAATCCCAATTGAGAAACCTAATGATGTATTAGTAATTCCTGATATCAAAGCTGTCGATATTTCTTGCTACGACGGTGCTTTCTTCGCTATAGATAACTCCGAAAGCATAATCGTTCTCAAAGATGAAAAAAGTGACAAAGAGGAACTTCACTGCGAAGGTTTACATACAACTTTGAGTGTGGTCGATAACAATTCAATATTTATTAGTGGTGAATATCCAACAATAGTTAAAGATAATTATTTATTTAGCTTGGATTGTGCTGCAAAAGTGTCTGTCGATGCAATTGACAACACAATCTTGTTTTGCGATAACGAAAAATTGTCCTGTGGTACATTATATAGCCCAAGATTCAAGGTATCACCAAGAAAAACCATGTCTCACGTTTACAATGCAAGTCAATTACCAAATGGACAATTTTTGTTGGTTTATGAACACGAAGGCAGCCATTATGCAACACTGGCAGCATCTCCATTAGACACACCTGATCAAAATAACCAAGGAAGTATCCAATTGAACGGACCATGCAATTACATCGTCGGAATTACCCAGAAAGACCGAAATATCGTATGTTTAGCTGTCAATCAGACGATTGTTCTCTGTGAAATCGTTGATGGCCAGCTAGAACATCGATCAATCCAAAAATTAGAGTCAAAACCACTTAGATTGCTTGAATTCCAAGGCTATTTGTTGGTTTTGAAGCAAGAAGCAGTTGATTTGTTCAATATTATCTGCAGTTCATTGACAGATGTTAAGTTACAACAAAGAATTTCTCATTTCACTCTTGGAAATTCGACATCTGTCTGTGTAATGGATGATTACATGGCAATAGGCGATGCCCTTGAGTCTGTTGTCCTCTACAAGTTTAATTCCAAGAAGGAACCTCCACTTTTTGAAGAAATTGGCCGAAATTGCGACATTTTGTCGATCACAGCTCTTTCATTCTTCGGAGACACAGAGAATGAACTGATAGCAAGTGATAACAGAGGCGCAATTTTCTCTCTCGCGTTCTCAGGAACGAAAAACTACATTTCCCAAGAAATTTACATCAAAAGAAGTTTCTCTATTGGAACAAACGTTACTTCTCTTGTTCCTGATGTACTTGGGAACTATCTGTACACAACATCTGAGTCAGGAAAGCATTACATCCTTGCAAAGATACAAAATGATGAAATGTTTGGTGTTTTGGATCAAATTTCAAGGAAATTTATCAGATCTACTGGAAATTTGAACCCGTACATGTCATCTAAAGTTGTAAGGAATGGAATTGTTCTTCCCCAGGGATTCATTGACTTGGAAGTTGTTGAAGAAATCTCTAATTTGTCTGATGAAGAATTATCTAAGATTTCTTCCGAAATTAATCCAAAAGAGTTACATGATTTCGCTAATGGTGTACTCAACCAGATGATATGATATTTATTTTTTAGATATTAAAATAATTTTTTGTAATTTTTAAAATTTGACAAAAAAAAATAATTCTTTTTTATTAAGGATTCTCGGAATTTTAAATTTTATTATTTAGACAAAACATTATCCACATGTATTTGAGTCATAAAAACTTTATCTCTGATATCAAATGTTGATTAACTACACAAGACTGTTTAAAATCTTCGAATGGATAAACCTTTTGTTAATTTAATTCATTGTTCATTCTACTATAAGATTTTTTGAGACCATTATGTATTTTAAATATTCATAAAGAATTTTCATTAAGTTATTAAGAAATATACTCATAATTTTTATTGGTGACCCTTCTTTCAAAAAATACAAACTGAAAATGCACTGATCAGATTTCAGGATAACAATTTCGTTATATGAACTTATATGAGTCATTTTTCAGTATATCTTGATGATTATAATTTCTTTTCTCATTTCATTTTGATTCCTTCATTGAATTTATTTGAACATATTACATCATTTTACTCTGTACATGATTTTATTGAACTAACAGGCTCTAATACTCAATTCTTTATACTTTGTACTACTATCAACTCTGATTTTCTTTGTATTAATATTGGTACATTAAATAGCAAACTAAATAAAAAGTGACAAAATGGATCAAATTCACGTTTCTCCATACTTCCTAAAAACTTTTGAGTGGACAGCAGAAGATGCTGAAGACCATTTCGATGTTACATTTAGCTTTCCAGATGATTTCAACGTAGATTTGATGAAAGTCGAATTAACAAGTAACAACAAGTGTGTTTATATCGGTGTTACAAGTCAGCCACCATTCTTTGCTGGCTCATTTTACAACAGAATCACCAAATACACAAAAGTTACCTCAAAAGGTCAAATCATCCATCGTTTTACTAAAGAAACACCTGAAAAATGGCCAATTATGCTCTCAGATCCTACAGTAGACTCTAATTTAATGGATCCAAAGTCCCTTTTCCTCTCTTACTTGTATAATCAATCTTTAGTTGAACAACTAAGCGACAATGAAGCTAAGCAAATGCTTCTAAACCTTGCATTATCGAGACTTGAAGAAGCTGCTAAGTACTATTATCCACCAGCTATTTGCGAATACGCAAAAATTTTACTTTCTCAAAACAATCCACAGTTATCACTAATGGCAAAGCAATTCTTATCAATTGGTGCACGTGTATTCAACGATCCGCCATCAACTTTCATGGCTGGACTTGTTGATGCCCAAATGGGAAATGTTTCGGAAGCCATCGAAGAATTTAAAGCAGCCGCACAGAGCGGAATTGTCGATGCACTTAATGCGTTAGGAGAAATCTACTCGCCATTACAAGAACCGCGAAATCAGTTCGAAGATGCGGAAGCAGCTGTCGAACTCTTCAACCAAGTCCTGAAAATAGATCCCAACCACTTCTTCGCTATGTACAACCTCTGCAAGATGTATGCTGCTGGTTGTGGTGTCAAACGCGACATGGAAAAGGCGAAATCACTCAAAGAGAAATGTGCAGAGATTGGAGACATATCTATGTTCAATTTCGACTTGGAAGAGATTGCAAAGGAATACGAAAATGCTTCCAAGAAAGGAGAAACAACAAAGGAAAGCACTCAGAAGAAGGAAGAAAAAGGAATAAAGAAAGATGAAGAAAATCCAATAGTTAACTACATAATCAGCGGTGTAATAAATATTGGTGTTGCTGCTGCTGTTGGATACTTTGTTTATAGAATTATAAGAAATAAACAATAAAAGAGTTTTTTTTTTATTGGCTTATAGATTCTTTTAATTGCATTGTTTCATGAAATAAAACAAATTCAGATGATTTAATTTGATGATTTCCTTCAATAGCATTTGTTTCATATTGTTTCCGATTTTAGTAGATTATGATAGTTGAATATTTCACAGAGTGCAAATGTTTTTTTTTTATTTTATTTTATTTTCTGAATATATAGACGTTATAATGTGGTTGTATTAATGCATAGAATAATAATTTATGATATTTGCGTTGAATAACTCAAATCAGAAAAATTTTAAATTTGATATTTTAAAAAATAGCTTTCAACAACCTCGAAACTAAGAAGAATGGTCTATCAATTGATGGTTATGCCGAGATCGATGTTATTTCAATCTTGGAAAAAAATTCTTCTCAATTATCATTGAAAAGTGCAATAAAATTTTATCTGTCGTTTAAAGATTCATGTTTCTTCAATATTAAAATATAACACCAACAAAGGATTTAGTGTTATAAAAAATAAGTCCGAATTTAAGAACAGAATTGAAAAAGTAACTCTGAAATTTTTCAGATTTTCTAAATTTTTGATTCATAATTTTTATCTTTTGACCAGCAGATCTAGAAATTAAAAGCTAGAAAATGTAAACAATTAAACTTATTATAATAGATCCTTGGAAATTAGATCTCAAACTAACATAAAATTCAAAAACAAATTCTTCAGGTCAAAAAGGTAGAATTATTCTAAAAAATGACATGCGTATTTACAGATAATGGTGATAACTCATATACTTTAGATATCAATAGGGGACGCTGCCGTTCTTTCCCCAGTGAAAATAATTTTATTACAAATTTAACAATAATAAATGGATTATCTATCCCCGAATATTTTCATGATAGATCTGATACTCTACAATATCTCCACATTGCTGAAGGATTTACCTCGATTGAAAAATATGCTTTTGAATATTGTAACAATTTAGAATGTGTAATTCTTCCTGAAAGCTTAATATCTATTGAAGATTATTCATTTCGCCGATGCTCGAAAATAAATATATGGTGTCCAAAGGTGTGTTTAGCACAAACCTGAATACTGCGAATAGAAATAAACAAGTTACATATATATAAAGTTTATTTAAATATAATCACCATTGGATTCAATCACGCGTTCGCAGCGATCGATCCAGGCTTGAAAGACACGCTTTAAATCATCATGAGAAAATTGCTCAAATTGCTCTCTTACAAAATTTTCAAGATCATCTGGACTCGCGAATTCGCGTCCTTCAGCTCTCTTTTTTAGCGTGCCGAATAAATAAAAGTCAGAGGGTGCAATATCAGGTGAATAAATTGGGTTTGGAACAACTTTGACATTGTTTTCCACCAAGTAATTCATTACCTTATGACTTTTGTGAACTCTTGAATTATCAAAATGAATTGCAAACTTTTGTTTTTGTTGTTTGGATTTCTCAAACTCATCAGAATTGATAATTTGAGTAAGAACATTGTCAATTAGATACTGAGCATTCATCGTATTAGGTTTTTGAAGAATATCAATTGCGATGATGCCATTCACGCCCCAAAAAACCGACAACATCATCATTGGTGTGTCAATTTTTTTCTTCGGGAATGTTTGCGGATTTTCATCCTTCGGGATCCACATGATTTTGGCTTCTGTTGCATATTGAAACCAAGACTCGTCCCCTGTTACTAAAAAGCGAAACTTCTTGGATTGATACGTACCCAATATAGAAAGGAGCTCTTTCGAAGATTAGACTCTAGATTTTTTTTGAACTGAATTAAGGTTGTGCGGAACCCAACGTGTATACGCTAGTTTGTAGTTCAAATAATTGTGCAGATAATAACTGACTGTTGTACGTGGTATCTTTGTCATCTCCTCTATCCTTCTGAGTGATGCTCTTGGGTCTTCATCTAGCGCTTGAAGAATTGCTTTGATTTTTCTTTGATCCGGCGATTTTTTGTCAATTTTTATGATGGGCGCCTTTTTGTTCATGAAGTGATACATCCTAACATGATACGTTACAGTGGAATAGCTAGGAGCATCCATACCGAAGCATTTTACCAATGTCTCGTAGATTTTTTTACAGTCTTTGCATTTTTTTGCAAGAGCGAGGATGTTTTCTTTATGATTCATTAAAAAAATGAAAAAAATCCCGCCAAAATTTCCCGCGAAACCGCCTCTTGTCTCAAAATTCATTTTATATCCCGGCATGGCGCCAAAATACAACATACTCATCATATACATATATTCATATTTTTTATTATATATTTATAATCAGCATATATCTCCTTTAATAGTCTCATATAGAGCGCTGTGCTAAACGCACCTTTGGACATAATTTTTCATGAAAAATTAAGCAAAATAGGAGTTGGGGCTTTTATTGAGTGTTCTGAAATTATTAATATAACTCTTCATGACAATACTGAAATTATCGAATCAATGGCATTTAAATATTGTTATCGTCTTACTAACATTAATATTCCTCAAAATTTAACAATCATAAGTGAAGAATTATTCTATCATTGTTCAAGTTTTGATAATATAACAATCCCAAATAGCATAACAAGTATTGGACCTTATGCATTTGCAGGTTGTTCTAGTCTTTCTAATATAAATATTCCTGAATATTTTACAAGTATTAATGATGGTGTATTCTCTGAATGTTCAAGTCTTAAAAATATAAATTTTCCTAGAAATTTAACCTCTATTGGTAATAATGCATTCAGAGAATGTAGTGGTTTTACTAATATAATTATTCCTGATAATTTAACGTATCTTGGAGCACTTGCATTTTATGGTTGCTCAAATCTTATTAATATTAGCCTTCCTAATAGTTTGGCAACGATTCATAATGGGACTTTTACATATTGCTCGAATCTTCCTAATATAATTCTTCCGACTAATTTAACAAATATTGGTGGTTATGCTTTTCAATCTTGTAAAAAGCTTACAAATATAAGTTTTCCAGATAGTTTAACAAGCATTGGTGCCTTTGCATTCTATCAATGCTCATGCATCTCTATTCAAAGTCTTCCCGATAAGATAACTAGCATTGGTGATGGAGCATTCTCGTTTTGTACTAGTCTTACGAATATAATTCTTCCTCAACACTTAACAAATCTTAGTGAGCGCTTATTTTCTTTCTGTACCATGCTTACTAATGTTTCATTTCCTGATAATTTAACAAAAATTTGTACAAGTGCGTTCTCTAGTTGCTCTAGTCTTATTCAAATAATCCTTCCTGATAGTTTAAGTATTATTGAAGGTTCGGCATTCTCTGCATGTTCAAGACTTTCTATTGTCAAATTTCCAAATAATTTAACAAATATTGGTGTTCAAGCATTTTCTCGATGTTCAAAACTTATTGATATAATACTTCCTGAAAATTTATCAAATATTGGAAATTATGCATTTCAATTTTGCTCTAGTTTAACGAACGCAACTATTTCTAATGGCGCGTTAAATATCGGAAATGGTGCATTCCAACATTGTTCCAAGCTTAATAATATAACACTTTATGGCAAAATATCAAATATTGGTGAATTTGCATTCTATTATTGCACTGAACTTACTAATATAACTCTTCTTAATGGTTTAACGAGTATTGGCAAATATACATTCTTTCGCTGTTCAAGTCTTATTAGTATTGATATACCAGAAAGTATAACAAGTATTGGTGACTATTCATTTCATCATTGTTCGAGATTATTTGAGATAAGGCTTCCTGAAATTATAACGAGTATCGGAAAATATGCTTTTATTAGTTGTACAAACCTTACAAAAATTATTCTTCCACGTAATTTAGCATATATTGGAGATAATGCATTTTCGTTTTGTTCAAATCTGAAATATGTTAATATTAATTGTGGTTGTAACATTCCAAAAAATGTTTTTGATGGATGTTCTGCCATTTGTAAGGTTGTTATTCATTCAAACTTTAATATAGGAAATTCTGTAACTTTCATAAAATCAGATTTTTATTATTCTGGGAATGTTGACATGACAAATATTCAAACAATTAACTTTATATACAATTACTCAAAAAATATTTATGTAACAGACGAATATTCAAAAGAATTGTTTTGCCAAAGACCTGTATTGAAAATCACTAAATCCGAATTCGAAAAAGAAATTGCTGATTTTACAAAGAAAATTGTAAGGCCAACAATTAAACCTACTTTACTTTTTTCTTCTAATACAACTCCATCAAATTTGATGATTGCTGAACGATACTTGTTTTTGCTGCTTATCGTAACGTTATTTCCATCAGTTTTACATGTAACACCTTCTGGTACAAAGAAACACTCGGGATTTTTGTCAACTGTTGCTATGTAATCAGTGGACTCATTTCTGATTGCAAATGATGCATAACATGTTCCATCTTTTTTACAGAAAACACCCCATTCATCATTAACAAACTTAACTTTTCCACCTCCATTTGCTAGAAATGTTGTTTCGGTTAACATTTCCATCAATGGTTCTCTCCATTTGTCATAAGTTGGCTTGACTTTGTTCATATTTTCATCTTTATTCCAGAATCCACCTATTTCACTACTTGGTGTACAACCAACAACAGAACAATAACTAAAATACTCTTCAAATTTATCCCAGCTTCCTGCTAATTGTAAATGAGAAATTGGTCGAGAGCCAAGCGCAATTCGAGTTTGCCAGAAATATAAAAAATCAGAACTAAAGATTTTTTCTATATTGACTTCATAGCCTAACATAGCAGCCCATTTTGTATACTGTGGGAATCCAATCCATGTATTAATCATGTAACCACTTGGTGAATATTTCGAAAGATTGCGAAAAACATTGAATTGTGTTGTAATAAGAAACTCTTTATCATAATTCTTATCATCTAATAATGTGAATGGACAATATTCAGTAGGCATATTTGTATTATAAAAAGCAAAATGAACTGATAATGAATCTAACGCGACACCAGTAAAATTCTTCTTATCCAAGGCTTTAAACAATGAATCTAACTTTAAATCTCTTGCAGCACCATAGAATAAGAAATATATCTGAGATCCTTTATTATTATAATTGACTGAGCATTGAAGCTTTCCATTGATATCTCTCCTTCCATAATCTCTAATAACTGTACATAATTGACTACCATTTGCAGCACATTTATTAATGGTTTAATATAATCTTCTTTAAATTGATTAAGACGAGGAAAAGCAACCCATGCGCCAAGACCAAATGTATTATTGCAGTAAATGTCTTTGAATGTTAAATGCCATTTCTCTAAAGAATCTCGAAGATTAACTGACTCTTTCTCAATAATTAAATATGTTAAAGTAAATGTTCTTTTAGGTTTGATGGATAATTCCATATATGATCCTTCTACATCTGTTCTTTGATGCCATGCACAAAAGTATTCATCATTATAAACATCAATTCCTATAATGATTGATTCGTTTGCTATAACTGGAATGATCATTACATTTGTCTTTGAATCTGGAATTGGATAATTATATTCATACATTGTTTTTGGAAGACCAAAACTATTTGAAATAAACATTGATTGTATATATAGTTTTTCTGTTGGAGTAACTTCAACTGAAGCTCGATAAACATTCTTTTCAATTTTAGTTAATTTAGGTTTTCCGTATTCTTTTCTTTCAATATTTGGGTTAATAATTTTAAGCTGTGGTAACTTAAAAATACTCTCTCCTTCATGTGAAAGAAAGTATGCTTCGATTTGAGAATTATTTACAATTGGAATAACTGGGTTTGACTGTTCAGAGCCATCAGGTTTGAAAAAGTAGCTTCTCCCTGTACCATTTGATCTGATAATGATTTGAATTTCTTGTTTCGGATTAGCTTTTAAGGAATTACATGTAAAATTTAAGATATTAAAGTAGCCAGAAGGCAAATTATTTATAGTTGCTGTTACAAATGCTGAATTACTAATATTTGTTCCTTGAGGACAGCTAATTGTTTCATCATCTTTATTAACTGAGCATTTTCTTTGTTTAACATTATTGATAGAATATGTTACAGGAAATATGATAGGATCATTGAATACTTTTTGATAAAAAAAGTCTTCTGCTCTCCAAAAAAGCAAAAAGGAAATCATTGTTTCAAAATACTCTCAAATTGGATCGGAATATGAAATTACTATTGCACAAATTCATTAAACAATCACATTTAAATTCGATAGTCTTTCCTATGTCAGAAATGTGAAAAAAAACAATAAATCTCTGATATTGGGAATATAGATTGTCCATATAATGAGCATTGTAAATATCATAAAAATAAGTCATATTCATTCAGGCAATTTTCAGAAATCCCACCTCGAATTTTGATCCCAAAAATTTCTAACTATGAAATTTGGTGTGAGAATATTTTATAGTATCTATATCCATCGTCAGATACAAAAGTACGATTAGGTCGGTCCTCTCAATTTGCTACAGTCTTCGACGATTATTTCGAAATTTTTTGCTTATTACAAATTGGGTAATCTCAATTCAGCTTTCATCAATATAGCTAGATTCACTAAATTTCTAATCAGCGAATCAAAACTTTCATAAGTATACACATGCCTATGAATTAGTTTCATATTTTAATTATTTTTTCAATTTTTTTACAATATTTGAGATTAATATCGATACAAACATATTTTGTACACATAGTAACATGCAAACATTATCTCGCATTCTTCATTTTCATTTCAGTTATTAATGAAATGTTTGAATTAGCTTAATTAATTGATATCTTCTTCAGATGAAGTCAATATATCAGCATTTGGACTCTAATGTCTAGGCTCTTAATAATTTTGTCTATTCAGGGCAAAATGAGCATTTCTATTTATATTTTTGAAAAGATTCTAAAATTAATTGGAATTATCAGCGCTTATTTCTTGTTTTCTGAAAGGTTAAATAAGATCTTGCTTATTGCAGTCTGACAAGCATGAGCATTTGCTAATACAATTTTAAACAAGTATTTGTAAAAAAGAAAGCGAATTACAGCCCACAAATCTTGTAAATATGAAGTCTGAGCATATTTGTTTTTGAGATAATTATTAATTTTTCATATTTGTCTTGGACAACGATCTTAATAGCCCAAATTGATAAATTAAAATGCAATAAAACATAAACACCTTAGATTTCCACTGTAAAATTCATAAATTTTTTATTTTTACGTAATTTTTTTAGGTTTTACATTAAAATAAGGGATTTTTCATATTTCTAAAAATAAAAGATATGTTTATAGAATGAGATAACATCATTAGCTCTTTTGTTGTTCTTCCTTCTCCTGTGGAAGATACTCGCGTGGATCCATGGAGTTCTTGAAGTAGAAGTACTGAAGGATTGTAGCAACAACAATGTTGATAGAGAAGAAGAGGAAGAGGCCATAAATTAATGACATGGCAGAATTGATGGCGATTGGACGTACTTTGGATACAACACTAACTTGAACCTTGTCTCCATTGGCAGCATCAGCTACGTTAACGCCAACAATTGCTGTCTGAGTTTCGTTATCATATAAGTGCTCATATTCAACTTTTTCGCTTTCATTTGTTGGGCAGGTGAAATTGTATTCGTAGTACATTGTAGAGATCTCCTTGCCTTTGTGCCATGCCTTGATATCTACTGTGTGTCCAAAGTCGCCATAATTGAAGCTAAAATAAGCCCATCCACTTTTAAGTGTAAGTGCTTCTGTTTGGCCGTATATATCCATTGGTTGTACAGATTGTTCATTGCACAATAATGCAATAATCGAATAAAGCAGCATTGGAGGTTTCTGATGAACGATAGTAAAACCGCTTTCTATGGAACCTAAAATCTATACAAACCTTTTATGTGGAACATACTTCTCGTACTGTAAAAACGAAATGTTGCTCATTATATGTTCGGGATTTTGTTTTGATCATATCAAGATTAATTCTGATATTTGACTATTGCAGCGCTTAGACTCTTCATATTTAATACCGTTTTCGATCAGGATTGGATCTCATCTGAGATTATCTGATTCAAAATGGTTAGAATTGAAATACAAGGATATTTAACAAGAATATTTGCAGATATTGTTGATTATATGCTTATTTTTCATATTCACTATCAATAATTAACGTAAATTCAGCATGAAATTATAATGATAACATAAAAAACTCAATGTTCAAAGTTTTTATATGTGTTAATGTGTTCAACTCACCTAAGCTATTAAATCATTGGATATTATCCTGTTATTTACCAATGTTTTTTCCTGGCATATATCTGAATATCTCCATATATTAATATTTGAGCAAATATAAGTGAATAATCTGCTTATCTATATAGAAAATAAGCTGATATTTACATCCAATTGGAATTATTGCGTAATGAATATTGATATAAATATTCAAAAATCAATATGAATAAATTGACAACCTGTGGAGATCTGATTTCATTTGTAGAACTTATCCCAAAATGTAACAAATATGAATTTGAAAAAAATAAAATAAAAATAAAATTAGAAATTTCAAGAAACGCTTTTATCCTTTATTTATGAGTATAAAACGTTTGGTCATTAATATTACAAATAACATGACATATAATTAAAGATGTATATCTCTAATATATAATAACAAAACAACAAAAAAATAAAATAAAAAACAATTTTTTTTCTTATGGAATAGCAGCTGAAATCGAAGTCATTTCTTCGAATTCAGATTCTTGTTTCATTGCTTCAGCGAAGTCAATTGGTCCATCGATATCGATATATCTGCGTTCGCGGAGTAATCTGTTCAATCTCATTCCGAAATGTTCAACGCAGAACTCCAAGAAAATTGGCGGAATCAAACCAAGAATCATTACCAAAATCATCATCAAATAAGTTCTTGGATTTGTCATATCTACTAAAACGCAGCTCATGATTTCTGGTTCCATGAAAGCACCGTAGAGCATGATAACTAAAATTGCAACAAACAATGTACCAAAGTTTGCAAGGAATGTAACCCAGCACCAGTATCTCAGCCATGATGAAACCATCACAGAAACAATGAGAACAACTCCGAAATAAGAGAAGAAACCGTTTTCTGTGAAATTAGATGATGGCATCGTTAATCTGATTACGTAGTAAACAATGATTGACTGGTAAACACCCAATCCGCAGAAATAAGCGATTAGAGGTGGTGTCATTGGGTTTGGAAGTGTTCTATGGAGCTGTGGGTATCTTACGAGTTGTGCTTCAGGCAAATCTTGTTCAATCCATCCGTAGATGAAAGGAGGAATCATTGTGAACAAAAGATTGAAACAAGACATGAAGAAACTATCATAGAAAGATGATGGAGATCCCATTGTATCAATGGCCATCCATAACATAGAGAATGAGAAAACGATGTTCTTGTAGATCATGATCATTGCTGTCCATGCGAATCTATCGAATGCCCAATGTCCATGAACTGCAATCAATCTGATCAAATGTCTGAAACGAGGAATGGCGAAATCAGATGTCATTGCAGCCTGGTTTCCTTCCAATCCAGAAATACCAACACCTACATGAGATTCCTGGATCATTCCGACATCGTTTGCACCATCACCGATTGCGAGAGTGAGAGATCCCTTGAATGATTTGACCAATCTAACAATTCTCGCTTTCATGAATGGTGTTGATCTGCAGAAAATTACTGATTTAACTTTCTTGCAGAGATAAATAATGTCTTCTGGTTCTTTCTCTATTAATAGTGTTGTTGCATTCTCTGTCAAACAAAGAACAGGGTCTTTGAAATTATCGAAATTATCTCTGTAGCATTTAGCAGATTTGAGAGTTTCTTCTTCTCTTGAACTAGATAAAATCAATGTGTCAGCACCAGGTAAAATAACAGATGATGTCTTTCCGATTTCAATGGCTGTTTCTAATTTATCTCCTGTCAATACCCAGCATTTGATTCCTGCATGTCTTAACCAAAGAATGGCTTCTGGAACACATGGTTGTAATCTGTCTTCTACGCCCGTAACGCCGATAATATTCAAATTCTTTTCAATTGATGTAGCGACAGAATCAAGTTTTTGTTCTCTGTTATCCAAACTTGCAGCAGCTTCTTTGTACTCTTCAACGAACTTTTCGATCTCTTCGTCTTCGAGTATTCTTGAAGAGAAAACTAATGTTCTAAGACCTTCAGCAGAAAACTCATTAACTTCATTGTTATACTTAGTAGAAGCGGCGCGTTGATAGATAACATTATCAGCACCTTTTGTATAAATAATTGCATTAGAATCTCCTTCTCTCTGTACGATTATTGACATTCTCTTTCTTGTTGAATTGAATGGTAAAACAGCGTGAACTTTGTAAACAACTTTCTTTCCAAGTTCATCTAATGTTATTGACTCTTGATCATGCTGTATCAATGCAACTCCTGCTTCAGAAGCAAATTTGACAAATGCTGATTCATCAGGAGATTCAGAATTATATTCAAGAGTTCCTTTTGATTCATAAACAATGACAGTGTTGCAAAGTGCAAGAGCTCTAAGCATTTCAAGTGATCTTTCTGAATAAAAGGCATCTTTCTCATATGATTTAATAAATTCGGCGGTTGTAAAAGTGCCATTTGAATCAGTGAATTCCTTCAACTGCATGACATTTTCTGTCAATGTTCCTGTTTTATCTGTTAACACGTGAGTGACTAAACCTAGATTGCCGAGCATTGATGAGTTATGCGGTTTGGACTTTCCTCTGTCTTCTTCGACAATGTACTTGTCGTAACTGATGATGAACATCAGGAAAAGACGACAAATTTCGATTGTACAGTTGAGAGAAAGTGGAATGAGATATGAAAAGAGAACGAAATACTGGAGAAATGCTTCCCAAAATGATTTGAAGGCGGATGGCATGACGGTATCAAGGAGATTGAAGTCGTTGTGCATCTCGAAGTAGCAGCAGCATCCGGAAATGATGAAAACAGTGATCATCTTGAAAATAAAGACACATAAAACCATTGTATTGTTATCTTTGTCGAATTGGGTCATTTTTGCGGGTGGATGGCGCTGGTTCATCATGATCTTGCAATCATGGCCTGTACGAAGAGCAACACCAATGGCCCAATCTGTATATTTGAGGGATGTTCCACGTAATAAAATGTTGTTGATGGAAATCGGCCAAATGTCTGTTTCGGATTTCAGCTTGGCATTGAATTTGTAGAGGTCTCTGTCCGGTTCTGGTACATCTACTTCGTATTGTCTATGAGTTATTGCTTGTGGGAATTGCTTACCCTTGAAATGAGGGTGCGGGTAGATTGTTTGAACTGTGGCTTCTCCATTAAGCTCTGCCATAGAGAAATTGGCGGATTGGTTAACATTTGATGATGTAAGGTAAAGCATATCGACAGGGCATGATTGTTCATTCTCAACCAATATGACATCACCTGCACGAATGTCTGCGGAAATCGAATCAACCCATTCGCCAAAACTGTAGATTTTAACAGGAGCATTGTTTCTACGGCGATCTTGAACATATTTCATAAGATCTTCGATACCTGCACGAATCATTGATATCGCAAGTACAACAAGCATTGGGCAAAGTGTAAATAAATAGTTAACTGGTGAAAGAGGTAACGCACAAATAATTAAAACTATAATAAAGTAAATGTTGGTGTATGATCTGTAATTCTCTAGCAGAGAGAGTGGAAGAAATGACCACCAAGTGTAACGAGTAGTTCTAATGAAGTTTCCTTTCTGACCTGGATAATTCTTGGATGGCTGAAGAAATTTGATGGTGGCCCAAGCATCCACTGATGTCGTTTCTGAACTTGCGTGGTTATTGCTTAAGTCTTCACTCATCAAAATTTTTCTAATGATTATTGGCCCTGTGAAAAAATGAAAATAAGAAAAAATAGTATATAAAATGATCTCTATAATGATACTTAAAGTATGAACAATTTGAATAGAAAACGAAAAAATAATTGTGATAAATGTTTTGAGAGACAATTGAAGATGTTTATTATATATTAATGATTCTCGTTAAAATTATCAAATAAAAAAAATTTTATTTGGTCGGATGCACACATGCGAAAATGAAAAATATTATTCCATATCAATAGTAGAACTAGTAAGTCACTTATTGTTTGAAATTCAGTTTTGATAGTTATGTGATTTGAACGTCTCCCGATCATTCATTGAAAAATTATTCAATGAATCGCAACATTAGTAAATACTTTCTAAAAATAGAATATATATAAATAATTTTTAAAAAAACAGAATAATGATTGTACTTAATTTTTTACTAATTTCAGCTTTTCATAACCGTAATAAAAAAATCAATAGAAAAGCCTGTAATTTTAATTTAATGTTGTATTTTCATATGTCTATATAATATAGATTAATTTCAGTAAAAATTTGTGATAAATTATAAATAATTGTTTTTAATCTTTCGTCCAAATCCAATTAATGCATTTGCATCCTCCGAAATTTGATTGCAACGATTCAATTTTTTGTCATATATTTCGCATCTATACAATTTGACTCAAACTGAAATGGATAAATCTAATGATTTATGTCAATTGGTACAATGTATATGGTGTGAGTAATTGATGTAGAGTTGGGAGAATGTCTATTTCGAAAAAAATAATCGTTTTTCGGTCTATTTCGAAAATAATCGTCCCGATCCCGACGATAGAAGGCGAAATTATTAAAGATTGCATTTTGAAGTGAATGAATATAATTATTCAGATTGTGTTTGATTTCCACTCATTCTGTTTCTTTTGAACTCTAACACTAACATTTCATGATGATTACATGATCCATTTATACATGGTTGAATTGTTCCAGATTCTACCAGAAAATCAATCCAAATTTCTCAATGCATTCATGTTGATTGGACAAAATTTAAAATTTATCAGCCTATTTCCAGAGAAACTCATATATTCCCTAATGAAATGTAATTTTTGCTACATTTATTTCAATCAAATTTCAAAAAATTGACTGCAGAGCTTGAAAAGGTGATGAATCATGTTGTTATTAGATGTACATATTAGATTTACTATTTCCAAAAAAATGCTCAAATTTGAATAGTTTTTAGAAAATTTGGAATTACACTCCTTACATTATATATAATTAAATGTTTAAATTTTATTTATTTTTCCCTTTTAATTTTATAACGTGCTCTATCAAAACTAACCTCTCAATTGAAGGCCACAAAATCTAAGTAGTGAGGGTACACAAATTTTGTATGGAGTACGGTTCAATTTTTGAGAGCCTCACTACTTAAATTTTGTGACTACCTTATTATTGATGATTGTTTGGAAACTTACTAAACATATTCTATATATCATAATTTTATATTGAAAAATCCTATAAAATGACAATTTGTGAGTTTTCATTATATTAATCATGGTAAAGAAGTTTTTATGGGATTATGACCCTGTAATCTCTCTATTATTCTGATAAATAAGTATGCTGAAGTGAATATATGAAAAATAAAGCACAAAATAATAATAAAAATAAATTTTTAGTCATAATAAGTAAGAAAGTAATAGCACTATATTTGTTTATCGTAGCAGTGATCTGGATCACTAGTATTAGAACGATTTTAACAAAAAAAGAATGTAAAATTTCTGAAAATCGAATTTTTTAAAGTAGTTGCCTGGCAAAATATATCTGTAGTGTAACGCGAGCATAAAGGAAGCTGATAATGAGAATATTTTAAAAAGATATTTTGAATCTGTAAAAAACTTTGAAATTCATTTATTGATTGTACATTTGAGTTATACGTTGTTTGGTTATTCGAAATTTATAAAAGATTTCATTTTCGTTAATTTATGAATCAAAATATTGTAATAATGGAGAATTTCGTTTGAATTTCGTATTGAATGTAGATTGCAATTGTAATGTTGATAAAATGATGTATAATTTGCTTAATTTGAGAGAGTTTGTAATAATAATCGAGAAATATGAATTTTGAATGATTAAATAGAGACGAGTTCATCAATGTAATCTGTTTCGAATCAGTATTTGATGTTCCCGTTCTCAACTTTAGCTGTTAATGAATACGTTAGCAGCATTCAACCATATTCATTCACTATAAATGAAAAGAAAAAGTAGTAATTGATGATATATGAAAGGGTTACATTGATCATTCTTGCTAATTCCTCATTATTTTTAAAATATTGACATTATTTTATATTTTCACTTAAAAATAATAAATTCATTACAACTTAACGTAAAAATAACTATTGAAATAGTAAAAACGTGATTTAATGATGTGAAATTTCCAAATTTTTTTCAAAAAATAAAAAATAAATTCAAAAATTGTTAAAAAATCTATGAAAATCATAAATCTAAAATTATTTTGGAATTTTTGAGTAAGTAGAGCAAGTTTAATATTTGTATATAATGTTATTTCTGCGAAAATTTATGATTTTTCTCAAAAATTTGTAATCAATTTTGATAGATATTACCTTTTAAGATAAACCACTTATATATCATAGCAAGTGACTAATTTTAAAGATAAATTCTCATATATCTCTCTTATAAAATCAACAGCTTTATTCAAATTTTAAATTCTTGACAATTTTAGATGAATGATTGGCCAAAATTGTTAATTTATAACGTAACGCAATCATTACTGGTGAAGCATTCTGTCTAATAATCGATTTATTGATATTTCTTTGAAATATGAGACAAAAAACTGTTTTTTCACAAATTGTGCATATACACACTCATAAACATTACTATTTAAATGATATACCACAGCTATTTACCTAATATCTTAATCAATTTATGCAATTGTGATTTAACTCGATTTATATCGAATTTTAATCATTGAATAGATTTAGATTTCCTTAATACAATTCAGATCATCCATTATATTAATGATATGCTAAATATTTCATAATAATAAAAAAAATTAAGAGAATTATCATATTTTATTATTGTGAATCACCACCTTAAACTATGTATTTATTAAAGGCCTCGTTGCAAACACAAATAATAATTGATAATATTTTTTATATTAAATACAATATATTTGGGCTAAACAACAGCGTTATTGTTATATTCTCGTATATGTTAGCACAAATAATATATTGTTATCTTATATACACAATATTTTTTTTTAGAATTAAATAAGCATAATACTTTTTATGTATTAACACAATAGCACAGTTACAAAACGTTAGTATTAGTATTAGGCTATCTGATTATATGTGAAAATAGTGAGAAATATCATAATTTGTCTTGCAATCTTCTTATTAATCTCATAAAAAAGCATAACATAGTATTTTTATTATATAAATAGATTGCAAATAGTATGATTTAGTAGCGCCTAATAAGCCAAGGATCTAAAATAACTCTATGGTGGAGAATTATGCATTTTAATGTCTATCGTCGTGATCGGAACGATTATTTTCGAAAATAGACCGAAAGACGATTATTTTTTTCGAAATAGACATTCTCCCATGTAGAGTTCATAAATAATGGTAGAATTCTCAATAACGGAAAACTCAGAATGTATTAATGCTTTTATTAAGTCAATATCACATCAACTAATCATATAAGAGTAATTCTTTATAAATTTAAAGGTCATGAATAATGAATTCTCTTTGTGTGTACAACTAAAAAATATCCCGTAGTATAAGATAACACTATGATTATACTATTTCCTCGGTTTTTTTCTACTGCAGAATTATCAAGAAATGTAATCAAATTTTGTTGAATATATGGGTATCTTATGTTGTTTATTATTATTTCCTTATACAAAAATTTATTGAAAATAAATGTTATATTGCTTATTGTTTTTGAGAATTTCTTAGATGATAAGATTAAATTTGGCATAAAGTAAATTGTTTGGAATATAAATTTCAAAAATTTATTGTTCATAACAGATTTGAAATTTTATCCTTATATAAAGAGTTAATATAAACTTAAAAAATGTATTGTAATATCTTAAAAATTCAGCTCTAAAAGTGGATTTGAGCAAGAACAGAAATTATTACAAAGATGATTTAAAAGAATGATATGAATTAAATTGACCAGCACTCAGTTACTATTTTGAACTTTGTGGTATATTACAACCTATAAAAACAGCGTTTCAACCTATCATATGAATGTTGACAGTTCGCAATCTTAACAAAATTTGAGAAGTAATAACAGAGCAAATTAAAGAGAATTAGTGAAATCAAGTTTGCCAATCAAAATATAGTATACCTTATTTAACCACGTTTTTAAAAATTGAAATAGTTCATTTTGTTTCCTTTTTGAAACAATGAAAACATAGTTTTATTGGCATTTTTATAGAATCTGAACTTTCACAAAGCCAAATGCATCCTTCTGGATGAGGAACAATTGATGATTTCATATTTCTTCCTTCTCTATGACTTATTGTTTACGAGAAAGGGTCATTATTGATTTTGTAATTTAATCGTCGTCGTTATCGATTTTGTAATTTAATCGTTATCGTCTTTTTCTAAACGTGCATTTTTTGCTTTCGGAGCTATTGAACATACATTGGCCCTTACCAGCAATTGAAAACTATTTTTCATTATCAACAATTACATTACTCCGAGTTATTCATCAATCAATGAAAATCGATATATAGTCCATACTTCAATTTACAATATTGGCAAGTCCAATTTCACTTGGCATATTTAACTCATATAGAAAAACCAGTTGGAATCAGCAAAATTATCTTTAATTCCATACATAAGAAAAAAAAATTATAAAGTTCTTCAATAATAGCAAACTAATAGTTTAAATAGATTTACAAGTATCGCCCATCTACTTTTGATATAATTCACATATTAAATGTAGAAAACTGGTTTAAAATAAATATTTCAAAAGTTCGA